AAGTTTCAATATTTTATATTGCTTGGAGAATCGGCTGCTCGTAAATGGATAGATATATCGCAAGAATGCGATTCTCGTCTTAGTTCCTTGGTCCCCGGCCCGAGCCGGGTTATAAGTCCCACCGTTTCAGTGTCCCAGCTGGATGCTATTTCACGAATGCATCATCAGGTTACGCAGCATCAGCGATGCACATGTCAGACATGCCTTCGCATACGAAGCGAGTAACAGAATTGTCCAACAGTGTGTCTTGCATTCCGAAGTGTACCAGAGTCGTACTTCATATGCAGCGAATTCTTCCATGATCCTAAGCAGGTAGGTTGGCTGGACCCAGCAAGAGTGGATTTTGGCGAGACGTGGCCGTACCCCGCTTTCAATCGGGACCGCTCTTATCACCAGCCTGCTTTCCTTACAGTTGGTCTGGACAAGCTATCCAAGCGTTATACGGTTCCAACGAGTTCATGCAAGGTGCAGGTGGCCATGCACACAGAGCAGCGGCTGAGGCGGGATGTCTCAACGACGCAAACCAACATATCGTGTCCGGTGTTAGACGATTAGACCTCCTCGCCATATTCTTTCGCCCGTCCGCATGAAGCCATTCCGCCTGACCCTCGGCAACAATGCCACACTAAGCGGCATCCACAACATCCCGCCGCCGTCTCACTCGGCGGGGCCGAAGCACCGGCCGCTCCTCGTGGGGCTGCACGGCGGCAGCTACAGCAGCTCGTACTTCGACGCCGACGCGCGCCACACGGCCGCACTCCCCAGCGACGCGCTCGGCGTGCCCTTTGTCGCCGTCGACCGGCCATGCTACGAGGACTCCACGTCGCTGTACCCCCTGCCCGAGGGCTCCAGCTTCCCCGAGGAGTTCGGCCGCTGGCTGCACTGCTTCATCCTGCCGGCCGTGTGGGCCGAGTTCGGCGCCGGCTGCGCGTGTATCGTGCTGGACTGCCACAGCCTGGGCGCCACGGGGGCCATCATCGCGGCGTCGACGCACGCGACCGAACCGGAGGAGAAGCGTGGATACCCGCTGGGCGGGATGATCATCTCGGGGTTTGGCAGCATGCTCGGCGAGCACGTCGGCAAGCTCGACTCGCCGGACCCGCCGCCCAAGGAGGTCGTCTTTCCGCCACAGATGAAGGACAACATGATGATCCCGCCCGGCACGGCCGACCCGGAGATCTACAAGCAGGGCGAGCGGCTGAACAAGCCCATGCCGTTCGACGAGCGGGCGACACTGTTCACCTTGTGGCTGCCCACTAGGTGGAAGATCTGGGCGGCCGACGTCAAGTGTGCAGTCATGATTGGGGTCGCTGAGAGAGACGCCCTGTGGAAAGGCACAGAGGAACACGTCAAGGACTTTACGGCTGCCTTTCCCAACAGCGTGCGAGTCGACGGCAGCCTTATCAAAGGTGCGCCGCATTGTATAGAGCTGAGTTACTGGTCGCCAGGCTGGTATGCGAGGTGCTTTGGGTTTGCGTTGGAGTGTGCGGTCAGTCATGCGATAGCAGGCGGTGATGAAGGTGGTCATTGAGGTGTATAGATTGGGCATAAGCATAGCTAGCTGCACGGGACCTTTGTCTAAAGCGTGTTGGTTCCGTTCGTGACGGTGCGTCCTTCTCGGTGCCTTGCTCTCGCCATGGCTATGCTAAGTTCAGGAAACATCTTGATCATAATGAGACGTGAATGCTGCAGGGACTTTTTGTAGGTGTGTGACGAGGCTGATTAGAGGGCATTCCGACATTATTTTGAGTTGACCGTGGCCCGAAATGGAAGAGCAGGCCAGTGCAGGCGCGCGCTGTGACTGGCTAACAAAAGGTCCCTGCAGGGCCCGCCCAGAGAATACCTACCTAATAAAGCCCGTGACGACAAGCTGGGAGCCTCCCAAGCCACCATCAACTGATGCGCATGAACCTTGCCCACCTGGGCAGAGCTGCATGGGCCTTATGTTGGGCAAATCAGGGCCCCCCAAGCTGACACAGGTACCACCAGAGAGTAGGTAACCCAGCAACTTTCAAGCGGCTGTTTCGAGGACGACGCTATGTCATTCTCAATGATCTTACAAAAGGACCATCTCAAAAAAACGTGGAATTGTCGATCAATCTGTTCCTGGGCTAACGCAGGGTGATGATGCCTGCCCACCTCACTTCTGCCGGTGCGCTACTGCACTGCGGCATGGCGCGCCTCATCCAGAGCCGGGCTTGCGGGGGCCTTTTGCAAGAGGCCAATGACTTACTGACTTACACGATCATTTACACGGATCTTCCCAAATAGTCTGATTCTCCCGGGTGTCCTCCAGTCAGCATTGAATCGACCCATGCCAGACTTGTAATCGGCGGGGATCCAGCACGAGTCTTTGAGTAGTTCCCATGTACCACACCGTGTTTCTTAAGACGGCGCCGATATGGCCATAGCTTACATGTCGGGCGGGGCGGCACCCCATCGTCCAAGGGATCCCAGGTTGCTCTCGGGTTGCTCTCGCTACGATGTATCGCGGCAGCCAACAAATGGACGCTGTAGGGGCCTTTTGTCTTCACATCCCATTGGTAGCTATCGTTGATTGAGTTCAATACTACCCCTAGTTGTTGGCTCTAAAAGGTCTTTGCGGCTCCCTCAGTTTATCACAGCACCCAGACCAAGCACCGATGACCAGAGGAGTATATAATGGCAATGGAGGCCAGTCGTTGTCGTGATGCTCTTGCTTTTCTCTCGCCATCCTCTTCACGCTTCCCGCCTCAGTTGAATCACTTACACTTATACCATCAACCACTAGTCAAAGACCATCATGAGCTATAACAATTCCAACTCCGCATCTTCAAGGACTCCCTTCACCCAGGTCCAAAGATCCTGGGGTCAGGCTCCTGCGACCCAACTTGGTCATGTCCAGACACCACCATCGAGCGATGGCCTCTCTCGATACCTTGCCGAGGCCACCAGGAGTGGCCCTTGGAACAACATTGGCGAGGTCCATGCAAACACCCATGAGCACATAGACCGAACCTCTGGGCCAACGAGCAGTACTCGGGCTACACATGGCACGTCGTAACGTTGCAAGTCGTTGCTGATAAACAACGAGAACATCAACAAAAGCAAAAAATGTAAGTAGCCGTCAAGTGGTGTGGAGAGTTCATGTGAAGTTAACCGATGACACAAGGTTCGAGTTCCTAAAAGAAGTGGATAACGGGAGGACCCGTTGTAGTTCTTGGTACCACCTTGGCCTCTTTCAGCCCGGGCAATTTTCTCATTGTGTAATGGTTCGAGGCGCGAAATTCGGGTTCATTGGCGATGTTGGGCACAGAGGCGGAGTTGAGTGATGGAATTTTTTTTGTGTTGGTTTCTTGTTCGGCTTCGTACGGCAATCTGATTCAAGCATGGTTGTGCCATTCATTATCAGTCGGTGTTTTGCTCTTGTCCTTCGCCTTGGTGGGTATAGTGCCGGCCGTTAAGTATATCTCTGCAACCTTGACACAAGGCCAAATATAGTGCAGCTTGTCAATTCGTCGAAGCAGGAGTGATATGATGTTTGTGTCAGTAGATCGAGTGATACAAGAAGACGAAAGACACGAAACCACGCTGTCAAAGCGTTAATATCGTCCGAACAGCCAAGATAGTGCGACCGCTTCGTCAGTGGCCAATACTTGCGCGCGCGTTTCGGTTTCCTAGCTGCGGGTAGCTTGTAGTACAGAAATCTGTTTCGAACCTATTCCAACTCCGTTGAACACCCCCGCTCTGCTGTGGTCAACTTGTTGCCCGCTCGACCGGCGTTTTTCGTGCGCGCTTCGCTCGACAAAAGAGTTCATCCGTACGAATGCGATAGGTCCATTCGCATCAGACTGTTAGACACAGCTTAAGATGTTGCACGAGCGGTTGCAAATCAACATGGGTAGGGCGACATTAGATTCTGCAACGCAGGGATCTGACGTTTGTCCTTCAAATGGCCCGCATATGGTAGAGGCAAACAGATTGATAGCGACCTCCATATTGAATCAGGTCGACATCTGGACTGTTAAATCAGTTAGCTCATGTGACGAGGAGGATGACAGGCTCGGATTAGGAGCGTTAGATTGATCGCTAACGACTCCCAGATACGAACTCGAAGAAACCAGGACTCACCAGTAGATGCAAAAAGCTGTTCAAATGTACAGTATATTAAAGCTTTGACATAGTACAACGTGCGATGAGCACCACCTGGCAGCGCCGGCCCGACACTAGAAGCGATCTTCTGGACGCTTGTATCCTGCCAGTGCGCCAATCTCAGCAATCGCGCCCCGTACATTCTCTACCAGGGCTTTGGCCATGCCCTGTCCTCGTCGACTCTTGCTGCCCTCTCCACTCATCGAAGAAGCCGCAGCGCCTTCATTGCCCATTGTTGGCAAGACATTGTCGCTTGCAGACAAGCTTACGAACAGCGCAAAAGGAACAAGCCACACGCATAGCCCAAAGTACGATGCAATCTCAGTGAATGTTGGGATGTTCTCTGGCTGGTCATAGTAGGAGGACATATTTTGGTATGCGCGCTGTTGGCTTTTGGAGAAATGCTTAAACCAAACATAGTGGTTTAGGAGAACAAGACCTGTGCATGCGGTAGTCAGTTTCGATCACAGAAATTACAGCAATCAGGATTACAACGTACCGCATGAGGTAAGGAAGAGCGGGTCTGTGAGGCGGACGAAGGGGAACCTCCGCATGTTGCCCAGGTAAACGACATGGGAGGCAATGCCAAGTAGAGTCAACCAAAACGGGAAACGGTCGACGACGCAAAGGAGAAGTTGTACAACGATAATAAAATATATGAGTTGGGATAGAAAGCGTTTGGTAATCACAGTGTGCTCCTCGACAAGTTCAGAGAGGTAGTAGAGTCCAGACGCTGAGCGCAAGCCATGTCAGTCCATACGGGTGCAACAAGCAGAGGAGAGGCTTACCTATGGCCAGCGTCAGAAAGCAGAAGCCCACAATCGAGCCCAGATAACCAAGTAAAGGAAGAATCCACATGATGCCTGCTTTATACTGTGATCATACTATGACAAACGAAGGGATTACAGTGCTACGACACCGGAGGAAGACAGAACACAACAGCGTTGGGGAACACTTCAGGAACGCGTCGATCACGAAAAGCTGCCACGACTCCCGTTTACCCAAATGGAAGGAAGGGGGGAGCTCACTTTAGAGCTTGGCCAATGACGTCGGGCGGTTAGCGGTCCAAAATTGATCCGCCGATAACGATAAGTATGTTTCCTGCCCCACCAAAAACTTCCAAAAATTCGAGGTTCACCAATTCACAAGATTCTTGTGCTCGTGGTCATGGGTTCTGATGTCTGCGTACTCGTAAGAATACTCAATTGACGCAGATAACCCTTTCCTACACAAATTCTTGTTTCCACTCTCAAAGTCGCCAAAAAAAAAAAAAAATTTTATTGTCAACATGTCGAGACCCGAGGATACACTGTAAGTCAATTAATACCCCGCAAGAACTTTCCCTGCTAATGCTTGCCCTCAGTCAGGCGGACGTGCACTACGATGATACCGAAGCGCGCAAATACACTACGAGTTCTCGAATTCAGAATATTCAAGCGTCGATGACCCGTCGAGCCCTTGAGCTGCTCGATCTCCCCGGCCCTTCCTTCATTCTCGATATTGGCTGTGGCAGTGGTCTGTCAGGAGAAATTCTGTCCGCCGTTCCCGAAGACGAAGGAGGTCCACATACCTGGGTCGGCATGGACATCTCGGCTTCAATGCTTGATGTCGCCCTACAGAGAGACGTGGAGGGTGATTTGCTGCTGGCAGACATAGGACAAGGTGTTCCTTTCAGGGCTGGCTCATTCGACGCAGCCATCAGTATTAGTGCCATACAATGGCTATGTAACGCGGAGAACAGCGAAACATCGCCTCAGGGACGACTGTCAAGATTCTTCAATGGGCTTTATGCATCGCTCAAGAGAGGAGGCCGGGCGGTTTGCCAATTTTATCCCAAAAATGACATACAACGAAAAATGATCACCTCTGCGGCGGTCAAGGCTGGTTTTGGCGCTGGTATTCTCGAGGATGATCCTGAGACGAAGAATGTCAAGGTTTACCTGGTTCTTACTGTTGGTGGCGGTACCGCAGACGGAAATTCTGGAGACATCACTGGTGTTGTCAAGGGTATGGACGGCGTGGATGTGCTCGACGCCAGGAAGAAGTACAGCAATGGAAAGGGCGAGATCAAGAAGGGAAGCAAGGCATGGATCGTTAAGAAGAAGGAGCAAATGGAAAGGAAGGGCAAAATCGTCAAAGCAACCTCTAAATACACCGGCAGGAAACGACGGATTGCTTTCTAATCTATGGTGCGAGAAGCTGACGATCTGCATGATGAAAGGCATTGGACTGGCGTTCGGATGGTTGTTCGTTTTACATATTTGGTTCCACAAGCCAAAAAAGATACCCTTCAGTCTTAATTTGTTCTCCATTTGTGTTCTAAAATCAGTGTTGCCTACAACATTCTTCGGTCTGCCGAATTCCCTCCCTTTTCTCCTTTCACAAAAAGAAGTGAGAAGTGGTACCCTAGTCGCCGTCCTCACCGTTCTGAAGTCCTGCAGGCATGCCATCCGTGATTTCGCTGTGTGTTGTGTATTCTCCAGAATATATCGGGATACCATCATCCCCGATCTTTACTTGCGTTGATACAACACTCACTTTCAACCCCGGTACCTCATTCAGAGGCTGCTCTTCGCCGTTGAACAATGTCACTCGCCACTTCAGATTTGCTCGAAGATATGGCACAACCTGAGTAGATTCCAAACTGCTAAGTCTACCAGCTGTGATATCCTGCAAGAGTGCAGATGTTAGAGGCACTGTTCCAGTCACGGTCAAGCTGGCGTCTCGATCGCGCTGGCACTTGGCGCATCGAGTGCTGGGACTGCGACCTAGGATAGTGACTCGTCCCACACAGTTGAATTCCAGGTCCCAATCACCCGGATCAGGGGAGATGTCGCCAAGAAACACCATGACGCGATAAGTCTGCCCGAGGCCATGTTTGATAGCACGGACACTGACGATCCACTCTGTGTAGGTGTTGTCAGGTGCAAGGTGAGCTAGCGAGCCTGGGATGGACTCAGCTGGTTCACCATCCTCTTCAGCCGAGTCATCAGCTTTCTCGTCTTTGTCAGATTTAGCGATTGTATGCTCAATCTCAGTAGGATGGATGTCATGAACAATTGGTTTTTGATCGTCTACAGCTGCGACCTGGATGACCGGCTCAATTTTGTCCTTGTTAGGAGCGGCAAGACTATGCACATCAAGCCCCTTGCTAGGGGTCGAACTCTGTTGTGGAGCGATAGTTTGAACGAAGTTTCGGAAGACATTTCCACCGTATAGCTTCGTCACTGACTGTCGTAATGCCGCCTGGTAGGTGGCAGTGTCCGAATACTTCCATTTCTGAGTCTCAGGATAAGCATAGCCAAAGGTACCTGTTTCTTTCACTTGAATCGAGGTCCAGAACTTTGTCCCAGAAGCATCCCAGAATGGAATAAGCGACGAGTTTTCTGTTTCGCTCGTGCCCTCTTCCGTCGTGAAAGTTGAATATGGCGCAGGGCGCGGATCAATGAAGCTATCCGGATTGAGATCTTGCCAGATAGCCCAGAGACGATCAACGTTACTAAATGACAGTTTGTCAGCGGTGTATGCTTGCCGATAAAACTCCTTTCAGACTCAGTAGACCCACGAGTGATGCAACCAAAATAGTGGATCAAATGCGGATGTCTCGAGCGATGACATATGGCCGCTGCCCCCTGTCTTGTCGTGAATCTCGCCATGGACGTCTTCCAGGCTACCGAATGTGCCAACGGGCTGACCACTACCACGCCACTCATTGTTTGAGAAAGCATCAAACTCTTTGTACGACAGTAGGATAAGAGAAACGTTGCTTCGAAGGGAAGCACTTTCGTTCGCCAGAACTCTTGTAACTTTAGAATCCTGTGACTGTCCGTTTTGATCGGGATACCGGACGGTGGTAGGATATTGACTCCACTAAAATTGTTACAATTGTGATAATTAGATAGAAGAGACAGACTATACCTGCTCGTCAAAGTCGTCTGGGCTGGGGTTCAAAGGATGAAATGAGAATTGATAAAGGGGGTTGTCAATTTGCTTAGTCTTCCCATCGATGTCAACGATCGAGATCTTTGACGAACTGAGGGCAGTTGGGAATGCAGGAGATGTTGTTGTGGGCTTGGCAGCCCAGTCATAGTATGGCAAACGGAAGGTCCTTGCAGCGTTGACATATCGGTCCCGGATATCAGCTGGGAACTTCTCTGCGATACCTACGACTAGTGCATAAAGTGATTGCTACATACTGTCAGCCTTTTCCCTTCACTCGTATTTCGATTTATCCAACTCACTTCGAACAGTGCAAGGTATGGACGATGCCAAGGAGCAAATAAGACTGAGGAGTGGGTGCAATAGCCGCCAAAGTCCCAGCCAGATATCCCCTTCACATTGTCCCATGCCTTGAAGGGCATCCCATGAATACCTGCAATCTGGTAATACGATGTCACGTCATCTTCATTGAGTCCTTGAAAAGCCTTTAACCCAAGCAGGAACAGGTTGAATTGATCTGGCTGGCTTGTTTGAAGATCACGTAATTCCAAACGCAGTGGAACGGACCCTTGATCATTTAGCTTAAAACCGTCTCATGAGCTATGGGTGAATTGTCACAAACCTCCTATTCCCGGAATTGTTGGGATTCCAGTAATTTGAATGTTTCCAGACATTATAGATAGATATTGTAACCAATGGAGAATGTTTTGGCCTGCTGAGTCACGAGCTTGTAGGAAGAGCCTGTGACAGAGCAAACATAGCCAAGGCTTCGGCTGGGTTTATAACAGCGAGATGGGACAACGGTCTCCCCAATACCCATGCTATCAGCTGAACATGCCTTACAGACACATTTAATTCCTGGGGTAATACAAGGGTCTTCCTTTTTGCTTCAATATGACCGATCTCAGTAAGATCCCGACAACCCGGCATGAGACCCAGCCCCCAGAAGCCACATTTACTAAGGGCTTGCGCTACGTACTCGATTTGCCGCCGCTTACTGTCTTATGAATACATGAACAGGTTGTCAGCCCTGGACTCTCATATCACCAATGAGGTTCGGGGCTTGAGGTGCGCCTGGCCTACGTGCATCCCGAGGGTTCACGAGTTACAGTATGTGTCACACTTTTGGGCTCAGCCTTACAGGGCACGTCATGCCTCTCGATTGCTGAATCCATCATACATGGCTTTTGCATTCCAATGATTCCACTGATCCGGCCCCGGAAGCAAGACCCGGGTCTTACACCGACTAACCCTCGCATGCGTGGCGCGTAAGCATGTAACACACAAAAGCAGTTCAGCCTGGCGGAGTTGAACCAATCGTGTATCCCGATTTTTGTTACACGGTCCAATCTTACCAACGACCGACATCTTTGTGGGGCGCTCGTATTACTCTTCGTTGTCTCAAAGCTCCTCTCAATACTGATCTGTATTAAATAGTTTACGCGTATCATTGGAATATTGACGGCTGTTCTTAGCTCTCTTTAAGTCCACCAAGCGTAATATCAGTTTCAGCCGAACTGCACACAATTAGCTAGTCCTATAAGATATCTTAAAAACACTTCAGGGCTATCTTTCGAGTCCTGCAAGCCATAGTCAAACACCCAAGCGCTCAACCAACATGAGCTTTTCGAATTATGTTAGAGATGATCCAACTTCCAGAATGTGCTCATCAAAGGGGGGGATCATGTAGTCTCTTAGATTTTCCACCTAATACAAGTTGTGTTTGATTTCAAGTTAGGAGTTTGATTGAATTGCAGATAGTGAAACCACTTTTAATGTACTGTCTTGGGATATGACCAAAACAAATAATTTAGTTGAATAGCATATATACAGTAGTCTTTGATGACATATCGAAATGCTTTGATGATAGCCCTCTTCGATTGAGCCTTTTGAGAGCATGTAAACCAACAGCTACCAGAATCCTGCCCCTTATCAGCCTGCAAGCCGCAACTCATCTGTCGCTCTTGAGCCGCAACCTAGTCAGTGCTTCTCAAAGCCAAGTCCCTGCTGCTCGAGGGTATTCCGCCTGGTTCCATGGGAACCCCCAATCATTCACCAGAATAAGCGGAGACTCTTGTGTCTTGCCCACGAACCGTCCAGCTGCTGGACTAGGCCAACTATTTAAACCTCACTGAAGGGTTTCCATCCTTTCTTCCTTTTCTTCCCACCTACAACCTTTTCTCTCCTTTGGCGAGCCCATTACGCTCAGCGCTCCAGCCCCGCCACCAGGGCAAGCTCAGTGGCCCCAAGCTTACTGGCCCGAAGCTTAACGGCCCGAAGCTTAACGGCAAAGGAAAGGAGACTGCTGCTCCGAGAGGCCACCCACTGAGTAGCGGCTTCAACGGCGTGCTTGGCCAGCTTTCTTGAGCACGAGCTCAAGCCATATAGGCTCATGAAGTATGAACAATGATCAGCACAACTGTAAGTTTTCCCCGTCAACCCCCCGTCCGCTCAGCTTCACCGCGATCGACGCGTGGGATTTTGCTGTTCACAGTGGCGAAAGCCTGACGGAAAACATGTTGATCATTGCAGGCTAACTGTGTTTCAAGACTCGTCCCTCTGCTCCCCACTTCTAGGGGGTGTTAGAGGGCGGGCAATGCTAATTGTGGTTTGTTTAACCTCTGGTTCAGAGGACTGGATAATGTCAGTATCGTATTTATTTTCCTCCTTCTCATATATATTGCCCTTTTACTCCGATTTGAGATCAGGGAACTTAACCAGCGAGGGCAAGAAAACCCTGGTTGATGTCGAAGACGTTGGCGAACAATGTTTTTCCCCCAAAAGGCAGGAGTCTTGTGGAAATATGGCAGTCGACATAACCCGAAGAGCACCTTTCTGTTTACCTGTTCTCCCTGACCCTAACACGCCTTGTTTCTTTCCTCACGCACGCGTTTCACCTGCCCACCTCCTTCACCTCCTTTTTCAACTGCCCACCATTACGTTACAAACTTTTGAGACAAGCTCATAACTTCCTCTCGTAAAGATCCAGTCTCAAGTGGAAGATATTTCAAGTCTTCGCAGAAGGAATTCAGTCCTCAGGCAACCTTATCTAAACCCATCAAATAATGACCAGCCCATTTGTACGCAATACCCAAACACCACCAACTTCTTCTCACCCTGGTTTCAACCAGCTGCTGGCCCTTTCCATGAACTCAACTAACTTATCTCTTGAATAGCAGGCTGCGGCAAGCAAAGACGGAAAGCCGCTGGACCCTGCGGCGGCGGTCTTTCGGCCGTTGCCAACGGGCTCCAGTTGGCCCGCCAAACGTATGGTCTCGCGAGAGCCGCAGACGGTAGAGGTGGGAGGAGACTGTCGGTCACTGGAGATGGTCTCTCGCAGTACCCAGACCGAAGAGGCCTGGGCGCCAAAGATGCCCATCTCCCAGCCGGGTGTGTCCTCTGGGGGGCCGATCTCCCCGCGAACCCACGCGCCGGAAGGCAGGGCAATCCTGACCTTCAAGGTACGTGAGTGCGTGGGTGGCCCCGCTCTTCAGGTGGTGCACTCGGTTGGTGACGACGGTCTCGCTCCCTGGGTGAGGGAAGAGGAGGAAGACACGTTCAACCTGGCGAGTGGAGAGGATCTCATCGATCTCTCCTCGGAGACGATGTCGGGAGGAGGCTCATTTTCGTTCACCACTCACTGAACTCAGAAGAATGGCACAACATCCCGTCGTGTCGAGCACCAGCACCACGGTCATCACGATGAGGCTGGTCTAGACACGTGCTTGTCTCTACCAGGCCCCACGTTCAACCCAAGAGCGTACGGGAAGTCTTCTACGAAGAGGTAAAGCCATCACATCTTTCTCTCCGTCTTTCTCGGTAAGATTTCACAACTCATAACCATTGTCAGAGTGGTCGGCTAACTTCTCCGAAGGTTCCCTTTTCGCCTCTGTTCTGCGAGAATTAAGGAACCTCGTCGTCAGTACGGAAGGACAGTGAACAAGAATATGGCAAGGTCTTAGAGAAATGGACATGGGATTCATTGAAGGTTTTTGGGGATACTTCGAGTCGAAGCTGGTGTTTGAGGTTTCGTTTTGCGAGTTTGATGTGGATATTGCCTACTGTTGCCATCTGATGAACGTCACTTAGCACGCTAGCAGTCGAGGTCAGTTACCATCAAGGCATGAATACAGGACATAATCTCTTGTCAACATTGTGATAGTGCTAGAGGTTTTGTCATCGTGATCGCTGTGGGTGCAAGGAAATTCCGTATCTAACAGCAAGCTTTCTATCACACGTCCCAATGTTTCTGACCGATATGCCCGCCGAGGATGAACAGTCAACACATCAGATAGATGCATAAGCTTGCTTGAGCAACCACGACGCCGATTCTTGCTTTCTTTCTTTCTTTTGGAAGACGCGCTGTAACTTGCCCTCGAATAATGATATAGATGCCTAACCGGAGGACGCGGTGGAAGTGAGAATGTAACCAGTAACCGCGGGAGGCTTCTTCAACGCACCTTCCCCCGGTGAAGTTATAGGTTGCACGCACCAACCCCTTCTCCATAACTTCCCGTTTGCCAAACATTTCGAGGCGGTGACCTCAAAAAAGAACCAAAACAAAACGCGCCAGCCCTTCGCGTTTGTCCCTAAACATACGAATCTTGGAGTCTTATCCCGATTCGCATCGCAAGCCTCTGCTGTTGGTGGCTGGAACCGTGGAGCGGCTTGATGCGCTCGCTTCTGAGGTGCCAAATGAACCAGATACACTCTTTCTTAATTCATCTCCGCCCAAAGCAGTCGTGCGTCTCCCTCCGATGAACGAGATGCCAGGAAGCACGATGCAGGCACCCCAGGAAAGTGATCCTACAAACAACTCTCGGCGCGACCTCACCAGTCTAAGCGACGAGGAAGCTCTTGAACTCCTCACGTCCAACAGAACTGTGGCTGAACGATATCAGAAAATGTGTGCTGCCCGGCTGGAGGAGTACAAAGGCCTTGTGGAGAACGCCTTCAACGAGAGACTCACTGAGCTGGAGGAGTATATCCGAACCTGGAAGCAGAAAGTCGAGGGCGTTCTGTCAAATGCTGCTATAATGGGATATCAGCCACCCAAGCTCACCAATGATCAAGAGCAAATATTGACTGAAGACCATGCAAGTATTGCTAGTTTCCGGTCCGCTCCATGCTCCATCGTTGTAAGCAACACCTGGCATACTCCAACCACGGAACTTACACCCCTCCCTCAATTTCGGCCAAAGAGTCTAGGGAATGCCAATGGCCCAACTCCAGGCCTGACAAAGGAAGAAATACGGGATGTTGCACAGCATTTGATGATCAGAATGGTCTCCGAAGGCCTGAGCGAGCGACTTTACTCTCTGAACTCAGAGCCGTTTCGAGGACTTGTATTGAGACCTGGAGAAGGGCCGCTTTCTCCCCTTGCCACTTGCGAATCTGGCAAGGCATCTCGGGCACCCAGATTCAGTCCTGACTCAGTCATTTTCCAGCCGACTTATAAGAATATTCGTACTATCTGGCATATCTACTGGCGATTGAAGCAGCGACAGGACGAACTGGTGGCCCTGTCAAAAAGACACAACGGAGACTTGTCCCCATATGCGCGAGACACTTTCGGCAATACCAACCCGGCCTTTGATGCCCACTTTCCAGTCGACAAATCCCCACTCCAACTGCAAATAGTCCACCTTCCACATAACCGTCCAAAGGGCACGAAGTACAAAGCCTCCGATATCAATAAATTCTTCCATAACGAAGTCAAGAGGGACGTTTCCTTGGCAAGACGCTCACATGATGGAGTTAAAAACCTCGTGGAATATCGAAAACTCGACACATATCAGCTGACTTCAGAGCCCGGCGATGATATCATCGTGTGGGAGACGTTCATCAATTATCGGGTCATTTACCTCATTCTGGACAGTCTCTTGCAGGAAGAACAGTCGAGCATTGTTAATGAGTGTCGTGCCTTGGCTGGTCCAAACTCCTCGACTCAGATTTCCATTCCTGGTACATCTTCCTCTTCTTGTGACGTTGAGAAAGATTCGAACGTCGAGACTAAAGCCACCAAAGTACTCCGTATCGTTCAGGACAAATCGCAGCAACAGAAGAACTCTGCTCAGCGTAAGAGAAAGAGGTCAAAGGAACCGACTCCGCCTAAGAAGGTCCAAATCCCCAAGGCTCCAATAGTACCTCTGAAGAAGGGCGACAGTTTCAGTATGACTCGTTCAGGGACCCCTTACCGACTGAATAGGAGCAGTGACAACTGGTGTTATGAGACGTCGAGTGAATACAAGGCCATGAAACAACTTGGTAAGCGTTCTCGCTCCTCCGGGGGAAGTAAAACGCCGCCTGCGAAACGAGCGAAGATTGAGAAGTCGACAGCTGCTTTGAACCTTGGAATCTCCACAAACGACCTAGAGAACCAAAACCTATTTGGAGCGAGCAACTCCAAGGGCAACGATGTCGAGTGTGGACCCGAGAGCTTCGGCTTCGATGCTACCACTATGAATGGTCAAAGTGGAACAACTTCGCTAGATGGTCAAAAGTCCGCAGATGAGCAGCTTCTCACTCAGCCTACCCCGAACTCGACAGAAGGAGCCAATAGCTTGACAAATGAATGGGGCCGAAGTCTGGAGTTCATGAAGCAAGCCAGCGACGCCATTATTCGAGAACAAATGGCAAGGGACACCTTCCTGATTGGCGACAGCGACTTGGGGGTTATGCCAGAGTTGGCGGCTGTTTGCCCACACCATGAGAGAGATTCTGGAGGCAAGGCCGGGGAAATAGTCCCAAAAGCAATATCTCCTGTCTGCTCAACAACACAGCAAGCTCAGTCACTAACTGACCAACCTGATTCCCCCCCTCAGGAGAAAACTCAAAGGTCAAAGAGTGGTGAAGGTTTGAGCCCTTTGAGTCTGACCCTGCAGCGCGTGTCTGACGCTTTGCAGCAGAGCCTGTCCTCAAGGAGGCAGCCTACGGCGTCTGAGCTATCAACATTGGACCAGCAGAACGCGAACGACGAGGACCCGATATTGTCCGCTGGAGACTGGAGGGCAATGTTTGCGAAGGCACGAGAGAAAACGCAGTTTAGAGCTGGCTCACTTCATGAGTTATATCCCCTGCTGGTCAGGGGGTGGTCACACGCTTCCCAATAGCTTTGCCAATTACAACTTCTGCGTGTGGTAAGTGAGGATTAAGCAGGCATAAGCCGGCCAGACATTTGTTAGAGTACTGTAGCTGCTAGAACCAATTGGACTCGCTTCACCAACTAAGACACGGAGCAATGAGATATTTTAACCAGTGAAGGGCCCATCAAGGCTAGAAAAGCGCGTCAGACCATCGGTGAGAACTGTTTCAGAGGTTTAGTCAAAATCATGAGGGTAATCTAATTTATTTCTTCTATCCACGCGTTAATTGTACAGGGGGTTTAGATAAACAACAGCGCTTATAGAGTCTCCATCTTGTCGAGGATTGCCTTGGTGAACTGGTTGGTGGTGGAGTCGCCGCCCATGTCGCGGGTGCGGACCTTGCCATCGGCGATGACGGAGTAGACGGCCTTGGAGATGCGGTTGGCGTGGTCGTCGAGGCCGAGGTGGCGCAGCAGCATGGAGCCGCTGAGGATGAGGGCGGTGGGGTTGGCCTGGTCCTTGCCCTTGATGTCGAGGCCGACGTGGCGGCAGCCGGGCTCGAAGACGGCCACGTCGCGGCCCATGTTGCAGCCGGGGACGATGCCCGGGCCGCCGACTAGCGCGGCGCCGATGTTGGACAGGATGCCGCCGTACAGGTTGGGCATGACCATGACATCAAACTGCTGCGGCCGGCTGACGCACTGCATGCTGGCGTTGTCGACAATCATGTCGTTGGCCTCGAGGGTGGGGTACTCGGCGGCGGTGGCGTGGAAGGTGTTGCGGAACAGACCGTCGGCCAGCTTCATGATGTTGGCCTTGTGGATGCAGGTGACCTTCTTGCGGTTGTTGGCGAGAGCGAAGCTGAAGGCGAACTTGGCGATGCGCTCGGACTTGGCGCGGGTGATGATCTTGAGCGACTCGACGACGCCGGGGACGGACTGGTGCTCGAGGCCGGAGTACTCGCCCTCTGTGTTCTCACGGATGATGCACAAGTCGACGTTGTTGTGGCGGGTCTCGTAGCCGGGAATGTTCTTGATCAGAACGATAGAGGCGTAGATGTCGAGCTCCTGGCGCATGGCGACGTTGAAGGACTGGTGGCCGGATCGGGAGATGGGCGTGTGCAGGATACCCTTCAGACCGAGCTTGTTGCGGCGCAGAGAGGCGACTGACTCCTTGAACAGATCCTCAGTGCGGCCGGTGGGCTTGCCCTCGTCCAGACCCGAAACCTCAATCTGCTCCCACTCAATGGGCACGTTGTCGGCCTTGAAGATGGTCTTGACGGAGTCGGCGACCTCGGCACCGATACCATCACCGGGGATCAGGGTGACTGTGTACTTGCCGCCATACTTGGCGGGCTTGAAGATGTCTGACTGGACCGTGGCGAAGGACCGGGCAACCTGGAAGGAGAGCGGCTGCTGGTGTGAGGAGGCTGCCCGCAGCAAGCGCTATACATCGAGAAAGAAGCCATCGTCAGTGTCGTGCGACATTTGGAGGCGGCAGTGGCGGCGGGGGCCAGCAGCAGCCATTGAGGCGCAATGCGACAGGGGAAGACATACCTGGGCCGCTCTTGAAGAATTTCGAGACAGCATTGTGAAGACTGGCCGCAGCAGGAGGGGAGATTGGTCGTGACGGGCGAGCTGTCTGCGGGAGGAGAAGAGGAAGAAGCAGCAAGAAAATAGATTGGACGGCAGAAAGTTGAAGATAGTGTCAAATGCCGCAAAAACAAGTTCCCTTGGATGGTGGAGCACGCCGGGCCATTGGCGGCGCACTTACAGCTGCAGCCGCCTACCAGCCAGCATCAGAACTGCAGCAAATGCTCGGCCTTGCCGCTGCTATCCTCCTCTTCCGATCGGATTAAGGGAAACTTCCGAGGCTGCCCGAACATGCGCTAACCTCACCTTGGCTTAGCGTCGCAGAGCAGCCTTCCTCGGCCAAAACACGCCCGATTCAGCGATCCATTCGTATAAGACGGCGTCTCCTTAAGATACACGAACAGTTAATCCTCATGAAATATCCAATTATCCTGAATCATGTTGAATGCAGTTGAGGCATCATACCTGCCAATGATTTGGTTAATTGATTCTACAGTAGGCTGCAGTCGTCAAAGACCCCAACCACTCACATGCAACCGCCCATCTTCTACAAATTCGAGGTTTACTTCGTCACCGTGGCCAGCACTCTTCCATAACATGGTGCCTTCTTTTCTTCAATCTACAAGCTATGAGGTAATAGATTGTGAGACCGGTGTGGCTTCACTGCAACAGTATATACTGCTGTAGGGCTGAGGTGCAGCGTCAGCTTGCCCGGACTGGGGGCTTTTCAGCTCATCTCCGCACTTGAGGCGTCACGGCGTATCAAGTTACACAGGTAGGTAGTCTCGTCAAAATATATACCCGGATGAAGTAACCAAACCATCTATGCCAACATTGCTTGTTCAATCTCCCACATTTCTCGCCGCAGGCCTGAGCCCGTAGTCAAGTGACTACCCATAACCGTCGAGAGAATACAGATATGGCCTCTAGATACGGCGTCGACTTGCTGGACCGCCGCAAGGACTCGTTCCTTTTGTGGGCGCCCGGTCGTGACTTTGGCTCGAACCCGCCACTGCTGGTGCTCGGCAAATACAACAGCACGGCAGACGGCCTCTTTGACGAACTTGTTCGGCAACCTCTTGCAACTTCTTCTGCCGAGCCGGGTTTGTGGGTGCTAGGGCCTGATACGATCTCACCTGTTTTGAAAGATGGCGTCTACCACTACTGGTTCGAGATCCTGGACGACTCTCCAGAGAAATGGGGCAAGATGCTCACCACGGACCCCATTTCATTCACCGTCGACTACCGTGTGACGCGACAGACCGGCGATCAAAAGCAGCCCGCATCCGTCATCAAGTACAGAGACGGGAAATTATGGGCATGCAGCCTCGATGGCAAGGAGGCATCTCGTCCTGCCATTCCCAAAGTCGCAAGCCTGCCAGCCAACAACCACCTCGTCATTTACGAATTGCCAACCTCGTGGGCTAAAGGAGGCGCCGATGATCGAGGCGCCGATGTTGACGTAGGGACATTCGCCGACGTGAGCGCCCTGTTCGACAGCGGCATCCAAGGGCGCCGTTTCGCGAGCATCTCATCCGTTCGAGATGAGGTCATTCTCAAAGACCTCGGCATAAATGCTCTGGAGCTCCTCCCAGCTGCCGATGCAAAGACGGAGGACGAATGGGGTTATGCTACTGCCCATTACTTTGCACCCGACTATGACCTCGGCTCATCCTCTGATCTCGTGTCCTTAGTTGAGACGATCCACAGTCAGAATATCCGGCTCGTCACAGATGTGGTCATGGCATTCGGTCATGACCCCTACGGGTACATCGACTTCAAGCCTTTCCACCTGCGGCCAAGAGATGAGCCGGACAACCCCGACAGCTACCAGTCTCACGCCTCTGGTGTTCTCCGAGACGGGTACGGGGGCCAGAGTTGGAGGTATATCCCCACCGCGTCAACTTATGACCCAGAAAGCGGCAAGACAGCAGATGTACACCCATCTTGGGCGTTCCATAGATCACATCTTGCGCGCTGGATGGCCGATTTTGGAGTTGGTGGTCTGCGGCTCGACAGCGTCAACAACATAGGTAGCTGGGATTTTGTACGTTCTTACAAAGAGCGTGCCTGGGAGCTGTACAATGCTCGCTATGGAAGTGCCGCCGACCCCTCCAAGTTCCTTGTCATTGGCGAAGAGCTGAGCATGCCCGTAGACATGGTTCAAACCGGCTGTCTCAATGCATTGTGGAACGAGCCGTGGCAGGGTCGACTTCGGGCTGTTCTGCTTGGCCAGCAGACCGATGCAACTTTCAGCGACTCCATTCGACGGCTGGTTGATTGCACACTCGACGATAATCTCAGCCCGCGCTTCACCGATGGTAGCCAGGCCATCAACTACGTCACTAACCATGACATTGAGGGCTTTCGCAAGGAGCGGCTGTACAACTTCCTACAAAGCAACGGCATATGGGACGTCGAGCGACGCGCGAAGCTAGCGTTTGTCCTGCTGCTCACATCCGTTGGCATCCCAATGATCTTTGCAGGAGAAGAATTTGCCGATCAAATGGACCGCAGCGTGGACATGGGCAAGAAGCAGACAGACCCGGTGAACTACGCGCGCAAGAACGATGGAGGATGGAGACAGGCGCTGTTCGACTACGTGGCGAATCTGGTGCAGTTTAGAACCAAGTGCCCTGCTTTGGGAGTGGACGACACTGAATTCTTCCATGTGGACGAGAGCCGAGGAGGCAAGATCATGGCGTGGAACAGGGGAGGCGACCGACAGGCGCCGGTGGTCGTCGTGGCCAATTTTACTGATACCGACACTCCCGGCTCGGAGTATGTCGTGCCCAACTGGCCGCGCAAGGAGGTTCCGGGCTGGAGGGAGATCACTCAGGGGAGAGATGTCCCGGCCGAGTGGGTCGGCCGCGAGCCGTTGATGGCTTGGGAAGCGAAGGTCTATACTTACTGGCAATAATAACCTTCATAGCATTAAATCTGGTAATCGAAAAGCATTTGATTTTGTTTCACTCAATTTTTCTTATGATAAAAGACTATACTGTGTTTCTTTCTGGCCATAAGACTATGACATTCTCCTCTGACGACTTTCTAAGTGAGACGCGCTTCTCTAACATGAGACGCGTCCCTTCGATAAGTTGTGTCACTAACACACCACCACGTTGAGTATTGCGCTGAGTGTTAGTTAATTAGCCCCCAATCCACCATCGAAACATCGCCCAGCTATCTGTACGGATGCACCTCACAAGCACATACGCATCTACCCTTCTATACAAACGAACCTGCTTCGGGGGCGGTCTTTCACGTCCTTCTTCTTATTTTCTCAGTCCTCGCAACAGTATTAGAGAAACTGACGGCACAGATGGGTGAGGCAGCAGGCTGAGGTCACATCGCTCAACTGTTCCGGGAGCAGCCCGGCTGCAGACATCTTCAACTCTTCGGCTTTGCAGGCCATTTATTCGGCCAGCACAACTCTTCGGCGCCGCTTGTCTAGAGAGACTAAGGTGTTGTATGCAATGTTGAGCTCGAGTCAGGCAAGAAAGATTCGCTACGGGCTGCACCTCCGTCTTCCTGAAGAGGGCACCAAGGAAGCCGGAGCGTAAGTTCTGTAGTACGCATGCACCTGTATATCAAGGCCATGTAGCTAATCCGGCTTGTTTGTTTCCAGATACGAATACAATCGCCAGGCCTCGCCCCTCCTCCGCCTCCCCGCCGAGATCCGCATCCGCATTTACGAGCTCGTCCTCGGCAACAAGCAGATCTACATCACGTACAAGCCATGGCAGCACAAGCGGCGCATCAAGCAGAGCCAGCTGTACTATGAGACCATAGCCGGGGGCTTCCGCTACCAGCTTCTGCAGCCGGAGCAGAACCCCTGGCATGGACCGCGTAACAACACTGCATTATCCTCAAATGCCCGGATCACGCTGCTCTCGGGCGTCTGTCGGCAGCTGTACCACGAGACGGCGCTGCTGCCGCAGAAGCTGAACCCCTGGTCCTTTGAGAATACCTGGGTTATGGAACGATTCATTATGAGAGAGGACCATCTCACATTGCTGCAGCGGCGCGCAATCCATGTCCTCTGGTGCAGGGAACATCTGACGAAAGCGATGGAGAAGAAGTTCGGCTCGCTGCAGGTGATTGTGTGGAAAGATGGGAACAGGCTGCTTAAGCAGGACCTGAGGAAAGAGCCGGATATCGAATGTTTCAGGCGGGAGAAACTGATGAGGCTTGACGCATCGCAGAACAGGCTCGTTCGCTGATGTCGGAATTTTCGACAGGAATATCTGTACCCGATGGTAAGACTTGCACTCTAGATGCTGCATCAATTGTGCTTGGTATACCTGGATTTTTCGAGCTCGACGACACCCTGTGAACCAGGGCGAGCAGCATAGAATTCCAGTTGAACTGAAGCCTCTATCAACATGACTGAATGAAGAACTCTGTGAAGCCAAGATATCATATAGCAATGCATTTACAAACATACGAGCTGGGTTACCAGTTTCTTCGATAGGACCAGAACCAGCCAACGGCCTTTCAAGGGCTTTGCAATAATATTCAATTACCTATATTATGATTAAGATTCACTGGCATCATCTAACGTGAGACTGTTAAGTAGACATTATCGATTACCTGGTTGTCTCGCAGTAAGACACACCCCGCCCCTTTCCATGTCCTCATAGCTACCATTCGCTCAACCGGACCTTTCAGACATAGATGTAGCAGAACTCGCCATCTAGGCCGCCCAGCGTGTTCAGCAACTCACTAATCGTGACAGAGCCAGCATTCACCCCCAGCGCAACCGTATCACTGGCCGAGCCCTGGCGGCTACTTCCAGCCACGGAGCCCGCAACCGCGGTCAAGCGAGTAGCCAGGTCCTGCATCTGCCAGATCCACCAGACACGGTCGACCATAGCGTGGTGCAGGTAGAAGGCCGGGTCACCCGGCGAAGCATAGATGTCCTGTCCGGCGTGTCAGTCTTTGTATAGGGAGCACTTTAGTTTTGGGAAGGGAGCTTACACCGCCCGGCGTTCCGCCAATTGTGAAGTGGCCGCCAGAATGCACGCCCGGAACAGCCTGCAGCGTGTTCTGGAACGAGCCGATGCTGCTGCTGCCTGTGATCAGCGAGTACGTCTTGTCCGCCGTCGTAGTCGCCGCGTAGCTCTTGCTGATCGCGCGCGTCATGCACCGAGGGTTGTACGTCAGCGACTTGCCCGGGCCGAGGTTGACCTGGAAATTCGCAAAGGGGCCAGTGGTGACGCAGCCGCCGTTGACGGAGTTGCCGCTCAGACTGGAGGCGTTCCCATTGAACAGAGGCGAGCTCGCAGGGTCGCTGGCGTAGCGGTCCCAGTTCCAGTACGGGTGGTAGCCCGTGTAGCCGCACTCCTCGCGCAGGGCCTTCTCGTACGTGAAGACAAAGTAGCGGTGCCATGATAGGAAATTGGCCGTGTTGTGGATCGAGTCGGTCTGCTGGATGTGGACGGCCACAAAGTCGTCGAAACGGCTCCGCGCGCCAGGGATCTCGGTCGCTGAGGACTTGGAGGGCGCGGACTGGAGACACTTCACTGCGGCGATGTACTCCTCGCGCTGGGCCACGGAGAGATCGGTCCATTCTTTGCGGATGGAAGCCGTTTCGAGAGTGCATCCGTTGCTAGCGGGATTCTGCTTCAGATAACTCGCGAGTTTGGTGATGCTTGAGTCACGGAGCTGGTCTACGACATCAGCTGGGTAAGTTCGTGCAATGCTCGTTGATGTAGGGGCAGCAGTGCTAGATGTTGACAATTTGGAAGAGGAAATGCTAGTTGTAGTTGAGGTGGCTTCTGAGGTAGACTCAGCCGGTCTCTCTGTAGATGAGGCAGGGGTTTCAAAGACTGAGCTGAGAGATTCTGAAGTTAAGCCATCAGAGGTGGCCACCCTAGTGCTGGTGAGAAGAGTTGTAGGTGGTGAGCTCAGAGTATTGGAGACTGATGTCTCAGAAGAAAAGAATGTGCTTAAACTGTCGGTGCTGATTTCTGAGGCTTCTGGAAGAGAAGTAGTGCTAGTGCCTGCAGCTTCGGTCGATGTAGTCGGCACATATGTAGTACTCTCTTCAGAGTCTTCGACAGAAGTCGTTGTTTGTGCGACTGACTCCACGCTGGGGGTGCTTGAAGGAAGAGCCGACACCGTAATGACAGTAGTCACAGGCCTGACAGCTGGGCAGCCCTGAGCATAAGCCTGAGCAAGGAGAAGAGCTCCGACGAGAGAAAGCGAGATATGCATGTTGTAATTCTGAAGCTCTGAGCTTTGGTGCAAGAACGAACGACCGGAATAGCGAGAGGCTTTGGTCTTGAACGAGTGACAAGTAAACAAGAGAAAGACTAGGACGACATGAAGCCGCCGACGAAGAGAATCGTATACAACGAATGACTGAAACGAATGACGCTGACTGGCTTAACGAACGTCGGGAGGTCTGTACCTATGCCCAGGGTAAGTGCGGCTCAACTGAGCATCTGCAACTCTGAGAGCTGAACGGGCGTTGATCGCCCCTTTGTACCAGAATCAGGCCTCCTCCCGAAAAGCAACTGCCAACCGGGAAGGTGACGAGAATAGCTAGCCAGGACTTAGACGTAACACTCGCAGTCGTCCGTTGCTGGTGGTGGATTCCTTGGGCCAGACCTTGTGATCCACTGTCTCTTACCAACTTCGGGCCCCCTGCACGCCCACGGTCCCTTTTTAAACCTCTTTAGGGCTGGCTGGGTGCCATCGACCACATCCGTGTGCCATCACCAATGGATCTGAGCGGGGATTGCACTCAGAGCTCCCCTGTTCCCTGAGGCAATCCGTCACTGGGTGAGATGGGGGGAATTCGGCCGATTGGCTGATGGCCATCTCAGTCGACACATACATATAGCGGTGGGGATGGTAGACGATAGAAAACAGCTGTTGTTGGCTGTTGTGTCACTGAGGCTTTGACCTTCCAGCTTTGACAAATCCAGGTGAATGGCAGTCAGAAATAGAAGACGTCCTCCGGATCGCTACCATTGAATGATGCCGGCGCGTAGCGGTGCAGAGGCTAAATCCAGCAGCAACAGTTATAGCAGACGATGTGCCCAGCAATTTCGCGTGCGGTGCTGCAGGGGCAGATACGACAGCAGCCCGAATGCGGGTGTGCATGCCACGCTGCCAAGCAAGCGACTGGCCGGTTGACTCGGTTCATCTGTTCTTCTGTTATTCGGCGGTCCGAGCATCGTGACGAACACAGGACCGCATGAAACAATCTGTGGGGGCCGCCAACGTACAACATCGCCAGAGGGTCTATACTGAGAGAGATTAAGGGAGTGGCGTTGCATCGGAGATCTGTTAGCTACAACCCCCGAGTCCTCATATCGTGCAACTGCTTCCTTTGCTCGTAAAAAAGGGTCACGCCGATATTAACGTCGTGACCCTCGGTACGGTGCCGATCGGATGAGTCGCCGATGGCCTGCATCACCATAGGTTCGCTGTATAATCGACGTAAGACGCTCAAATAGAACCAAGAGTCAAGCGTGGAAGTCGCACGCCCTTTGAGAACAAAACATGAGATCTATTGATGTCCTGAGCCGTGTATAACAACACTAGATAAACACCTGAGCCGTCCGCCGTCGCCGAGTATCAGATGCACACACTGGCCGACCTGGCAAGAAACATATCATATCCACTAACCGCTACACGCCATGCTTTCCTTTCCCGTTTTCCCCTGCATGCATTTATACAACGCCGCAGCATTATTCAGCTGAGTTGTATCCGCGCGTCTCCTCACAGCGAGATGTAGCTGTGAGATTTCGCCGCACATCTACGCCTCCTCCTCGTCAAGAGGCTCCACCCTGACAAGAATCTCCTCAAGCAAGCCCTCCAGGAACGTGCCCACGTCCTTACCCATGCCCACCGGCTCGGCCTTGTCGTAGTGGTCGATCTCCTTGCACACATGGGCAAGCTTGTAGACCAGCTTGCGGATCTTCTCGTGCGCAGCCTCCGCCCTCTGCTGCTTCGGCGTCGGCGCATTGGCCATCGCGCCGCCCTGGTGCGAGGCGTTCGGCCCCGTGCGGTACAGCTGCTGCAGTCGGATCTGCCGCCGCTTGAGAGCCTCTTCGAGGGCTGGGAAGATGACGTCGTTGAGGGCATCCAGCTCACCGTTGGGGTTCGCGGGTGCTGGTGTGGGGAAGGAGAGCGGAGTGGATGGTTGCGGCTCAGGGGTCGAGGAGTGTGATGCCGTGGGTGTGCTGCGTGCAGATTCCTTTGAAGGAAGTGGGTTGAGATTCTGCGTCTGGAGGGATCTCTGTTGTTGCTGTTGCTGGGCGTGAATTTGCTGCTGTGCGTATTGTTGTTGCGGCCTGGTCTGGGCTTGTAACACAGGTGTTTGCTGCTGGGCTGTTTTCTGCGATGTTTGCTGGGGGACTGGCTGCTGGCTGCCGCGGAAGGGTGGTATCTCCGGCAGCTTCATCTGGCTGAGCTTGGAGGGCTGCCGTGATAGCTGCGGCGTGAGGTGCTCCTGTTGCGCATCCTTAGCAAGCTGCGTGGAGCTTATCGCCGGAGCAAGGTTCATCATTCCCATATCTCTTTGCAGTTGCTCCTGTAGGACCCTGTCATAATCAGGTGAGTGACTACCAGGAATTGGCGGCATTGGCTTCATTGAGGAAGCCCTGGGCGTCTCCGGCTCCTGAATCCGAGGCTGCGTCTTGCTAGGTGATTGTGGTAAAGGCACCTTTGACGGCGAAGAGGGCGGCATATTTGGCGTAGGGAGCGGTTTTCGCTGTGGAGATGTTTGTCTCGACGTGCCCGTCAGAGGAGATGGAGGTGCCGCCTTGAGAGTGTCTCGATCCCTATCGATAATGCTCTTCGTGGGAGATGCCTCCCTCCGCCTCTCGCCGTAGTCGTCTGACGTCTCGGACGATCTTGCTGACCGCGCATTCGTCGCGGACTCGTCCATAGCATTGAGTCCCGGTCGGTGCAACAGGCCACCCCGATCTCCCACCAGACGAACGGTGCCAAAGTCCCACATGTCCTCGTTCACCGGTTCGCGCACCACCATCTCGCCAACGTCGTCATAGCCTTCCTCGTCCTCGCCACCCTTATGGTGAGCCGCCCACCGGCTATGCCGCTCAATAAGCTCTGTCAGGTATGTCGTCTTCTTTGCGCGTCTTATAAACGGGTGCTTTAGAAGGTCCTTGGCAGTTGGCCGTTCCCTGGGGTCTCTCTGTAGACAAGACTCTACGAAGTCTTTAAAGGCTTTGGTGAAGTTACCGTCCAGCCGCGGAGGAGGGTTCTTCGGGATGAGGAAGAGGACTTTCATGGGATGGATATCAGCATACGGTGGCTCCCCATTAGCCAGTTCGAGTGCGGTGATGCCAAGGGACCAGATGTCTGCCTTGTGATCGTAGCCAGACTGCTTGATCACCTCTGGTGCCATCCAGAACGGTGTACCAACGAAGGTGTTCTTCTTTGTCATGGTTGCAGAGAGCTGGCCAGACACGCCAAAGTCAGCAAGCTTGACCTGTCCGTTGGCGCTGAGGAGTACGTTGGCAGCTTTCATCATGTCAGCATCAATCCGTCGAGTAAATGTCCTAATTTACCCCCGGATCTGGAAACACACACCTTTCACATCCCGATGTAGCTTCTTATCTGAGTGCAGATAGTCCAGTCCCAGTAGCAGCTCCCGCACAATAATGGCGATATAATCCTCCCCAATCAGACCCGGCTTCATCAGGTCGGCGCAGCTACCGCCCGAGCAGAACTCCATGACGATCCACAGCTCGGCCCCCTTGGCGTAGGAGCCATAGTACTTGGTCACGTAGGGCGACTGCAGCTCGGACAGAATGGCAATCTCCTGGATGATGTCCTCCACCTCATCTTCGGCGCTCTCGATGTCAATAACCTTGATGGCAACAGCCTGGCCGCTGCGCTTGTCGACGCTGCAGAGTGCCCGAAGTCAGTACGTAAAGTGCTGGCCAGAGAGGTAGTCTTGGCCCGTTTGCTTACCCCTTGTAGACCTTGCCGAAGCTGCCTCCTCCTGTAGACCAAAGGTAAGTATGTCACCGCCCCAGACTGGCACAAGCAAGCATCCTACGAACCAATACAGTACTCCTTTGTGTAGAGCAGCTCCGGGTCAACAGAGCCCTCGCCGTCCTCGTAGTCCCTCTCCCGGTCTGACATGTTGGGTTCCCTCCCGGCACGGACTCAGGCTGTCCTCAGATATATCAATAACAGGTTGCCTGCCTCTAAAGCGGATCGAGGAAGGTGAGCAGCGCCTGAAGCGCTTCAGTTGAGGGGTGTTGTCGTGTGATGTGGTTCCTTTGGAGGGGTACGGTGTCGATGATACGGCGGCACAGCACGAGGCCCAGACGCGCAATTGACGATCTGGATGATCGAGTCGGAGGCGAGAAGTCGTATCGGTCGAACGCCCTTCTATCAGGAGGTTCTTGGAGGTTGGTCCAGTCGTGACAAGGGAGTTGTTCGCGGGTCCAACCAGCAGAAAGGGCCAGGAATGGGAAGTGGGACTGAAGTCGAAATCTAACCAGATCGCCAGGAACCGTGCAGCAGACGAACAGATTAGCGAAAAGATGAAATGTCAGAAAACCATGATAACAACAACCAGGCAATTTTGGTTTATTTCTTCGTCTGTAATAGGCCTCGCGTAACGGGGTCTTTAGTATAGAAGAAGGGAGTTGTGATATACGAAGCTGAAAGACACAGGGAGAGTCAATAAACGTGGGGTAATAATGTTCACGGAAATCGAGCGTGCGTTGCTCCCTCTCAGCACTCCTGTCGCTGATGCATCGACGTGTTGATCAGCACTAACATTCGCTAACAGGAACAGCAGCTAAACAAACAAATTACGCGCAGCTACCTACATGCCCCCAGATGTTTGACTTGACTGGGCCACACAGCACCGCACTAAACATCCCGTCGGCCCCTGGACGGCCCCGACCGCCCCCTGTAATTCAGCAGCCCGGCAAGGCTAGTCCAGGAACAGTTTCATCAATCGTGGGGTGAAGTCCCCTCCATTGGCTCTTATCAACTCCCAACTTACACCTGTGTATCTATCAGCCGCAATATACAACAGGCAAGCCCATACAGAGTTCACCATCGTTGACGCAGGAACAGAGCAGTTAGGAAAGTAGGTTGAGTTGGATTGAAAGCGGCCGCAGTGCGGCTCATCGTGAGATCGTTGATTGGACCAGCATCTCTAGGAACAGTGAAGACGACGGAGAAACGACTGGCTCACCGAGACGGAAAGACAACTATCGTGAGTCACGAGCAACGGTGGAAAGAGGGAACATGAGACGAGAAGTCGCAGAATGCAAATCAAATAAGATCGGAATTCATCGTGTCATTGTCGTTGTTGGTGATGTGTTCTACCGAACTGGCAGAGGGCTCCTCCCGCACTCTTCTCCTACCAAAAAGAACATCGTCTATCTAAGAGGTATGCATGCACGCCGCAGAAAAGGAGCCACCTATGAATGCATGAGCCAATAACTCCATACGAGTGTGTCCTCTCCTGGCCTTCCTTCTCTAGACCGATCTCGTCTTGCTAGTCGAGAAAGGCACCACTGCCGCCATTAGGTGCACCCGTCCAATGTGCTGCCACGCAAGAGCAAATCTCAGCACGAGACTCGTGCAAAAGCAAAATTATCCAGCTCTCGAATAGACACTATCTCCTGATGTGTCCGTGTAATCGATTTCCTTGGGTATTCGAGACTCGGCTACAGTCACTCGACAAACTCGATCATGACAGTGCCTTGCTTCAGGCCCGCCTCCTCGATCGTCTTGTCCAAATCATCAATCAGATCGCGGCCTTGCGGCATGGCCTTGAGCTCAAACTCAACGCCCTCCTTGCCCTCCAATGGCTCCGCCTTGAGCCACTCGTAGATGCGTGACACGGGGTCCTGAACGGTGAACCGTCGAATCACTCGGCCGGTGGGATGCCTGAACTGGATCCTCGTGGTCGCCGCCGGGTCATTGGCAGGCTCCGTATGTGGCCTGTCAGAGGCGATGCCCGCAAACGGAGACGGCTGTGACGAGGACGAGGCTTCAGCAGCTGGCGGCGCAGCTTCCATTACGTCGTCGTCGTCGTCCGTTGCGACCGCCTTCCCTTTGCCCATTCCAAGTTCCATAGACTGAGTGAGCGCATCGGGATCGTGGACGTCCGGTGTACTAGTGCCACCGTTTCCATTCGTCTCTAGGCTGTTCTGCATCGCCATCTGCAGCATCTCCTCCTCCGTCATCCGGTCCACGTCGACCGTCTGCTGCGGCCGCTTCTGCTTCGAGACGGGGTTCTTGCTGTTGACAGACAGGCTGTATCGGTCGAGAAACTCCACGAGCTGAGAGTGAAATTCTTGTGGTGTGGGGAATGGCGTGCCGGACCATACCTTGACCTGCTCGCCTGTCCGAGGGTCAATGATGGAGACATGTGGGTAGTTGTTCGGGTTCTCGCTGGCGTTGTGTGAAAAGTAGAAGGTGATGTACTGCTGCGCTCGCTCGTCGTCCTTCGAGTACTGCAGGAATATGAAGTTCTCCTGCACCAGCTGCCTCACGAGGTCGTCCTTCCAGATGTCTCGGTTTAAAGCCTGGCAGTTAAAGTCGGTCATGTCCTGGAGGTTGACGAGTATCCACTTCTTCTCCTCCTTGCCTTCCGAGCGCGCTTCGTCCCAGGAGAAGTGGGATATGAGGTCATACGGGGGGCGGAATAGTTCGGCAAGCCGTTGTGCGCGTGTCTGGGGGACGCCTTCGGCAGCGGGCTGAGGGGCGCGCATGGGAGCATTCGGATCTTCCCATATTGACTGGGCGAACGGGTTTGCGGATCGTGCTGTCAGGAAGTAAATATGTTAGCATCACTGTAAGATTTCCTAGGTCCCACAGGCTGTCACCCACGCTGTGGTTGCCGGCGTCTGCGCAGCTGCTCGAAGACAGCCGACTCCATGTCGTCATCCTCTAGCCCATACGAGCCCGCGCTCGGTGCGACCAACGTTTCTGTCGTTCGAGCGATAGGTGCACGAACGCCGTCTGATCCAGTAGCAGTCTCCGAATAGAGCTCCTCCTGTAACCTCTTGGCCATGGCGGCGTCCTCGTCCTCCTGAGCTACCCGCGCCACCGTAGCGGCCTGTGCGGTGTCGTCGTCGTCGTCCACATCGATGTAGTCGTCCTCGCCCATCTGAAAGTCGTCGTCATCGTCAGAATCTATATGGATGACGCCGCTTGCGTCCTGCCGGCCGGCGCGGGCGGTATTGCTACGTGAGGGAGGAGCATTCGTGGCGGGAATGGCCGGGGCGGCAGCAGCGGCGGCGGCAGCGGCGGCGGGTGCTGATGAAGCGGCGGCCTGAGCTCTGAAGGACGACTGAAGCTCGGGGGTTTCGTAGAACAGAGAGACGGCCTGCCCGACGTCGCCATCGGCCATATTCAGATATCCCTGGGCGACGTCGGCGTCGGACCCGGTGATCATCATAAAGTTCTGGACATCCTCGTCCATCTTTGCGGTTTCGTTATCCAACCCGCGAGACACAGCTTGTTACTGTAGTAGGACCGGGCTGGTATTTGATAATCGGCAGGAGAGAAGAAGACTGCTCGTTTGAGGTAGGAGGCGAAGTGTCGGATATCAAGGATTTCCTAGAGGAAGGAGACTTGTTCGGGTTGGGCTGGGCTGGAGTTCCCCACTGCGGGCGATCGAGGAAGCCGGAGATGGAGAGATGGAGGGGCAAATGGCTGTCTTCACCAACAGAAGGCTCGACTGAGATGATGAGGAAGGAGAAGATAGGCAGCAGTCATCAAGTTGCCTGGCTCCTGGTGCTTTATGATGTGGTATGGTATGGTATGGTATGTTTTGGTGTATGCTGGGTGGTGGTGTTGAATAACGTTAGAGGAGGAGGCAAAAGGTTTGTATTGTACAAACTCCGGCAAGCAGTGACAGTGACAGAGTCGGTGTCTCAGGTGGTCAAGCACGCACGATTGACCCAAGCTTACGAGGTGCCTGTGCTGTGCTGTGCTGTGCAGGCGGCTACTTGTGACGCAACCGCGTTTGCAGCAGACACACACCCTCCCGTGGGCACTGCACTTAAGAAGGACCCGCCCCCACTTCAAGGTCCATTGGCAAGGCAGAGTCTTAGCGCCTTGACAGCACACACACATGCCAAAAACATCACAGGCAATCACGAACCCTTAGGTAAGCATTGCAAGAGACTACAGTACCACCGCAAACAACAACGATCTCGCAACTCACCACATCCCTTTGCTGGCACTTAATCTTCTTAATTGTTTACACTCCGTATCAGGTCATTCATAAGATTATATATCGTCTACTGTAACATCAGTGACATCTATATCTAAGCTTAAAAGCTTATAGTTGACATCCTGTTTGAATCATGACCTAACGACAGTCCTCTTGTTTATCTTATGTTTGGAGTCAAGGGAGACAGATATCTTACACAGTATGCAGCGTGCCCGACGTCCACGAAGATTCTAAGACTCCAGCTGAACTATCTCGTATTCGTTACATCTGTATTGCAGCCACATGCCGTACGTTTTGTCGTCGTCGGTCAAGCCTAGCCAATGTCAGTCAAGCTGTAATGAATGATACGTTTGTCACTTGGTCCTGCGCGGTGCCCTACAATTATTGAGTCCATAAGTCAGCCGGTTTACACATTCGTGCCTGGTCTCATTGGGCGAGCTGTCGAAGTCGAGTGTCTCGCAGTTGGCCGACCCAACATACACGATCGTCACGAGCGTGTTCTTCCACGTATATCGCACGGCTGCGGCCCCGGAATTGGGCCCTAGAACAGCGCCGTTGTCCACGCATAGGTCCATCAGCACGTTCATCGCCTTCTTGGCCAGTCCCGTCGCCCGCGGCGTGGCCGGAGTGGTCCGGCAGGCCATGGTGGTGACGGAGGCGCCGGTGCCGATGTAGGTCGTGCCAGCAGACACGGTGGTCGGCCGGGCGTACGCTTCTTTGACCGACCACCAGCTCATCACCTCGCTGTAGATGGACGCCACGTAGGGGGCGTTCAGGTCTTCGGTGAAGGGAGGGTCGCCTGCAATCTCAAAGGCAGTGTAGACGCCCTGGGTCGTAGTCGTGGTGCTGGTCGACGTCGTGTCGATGCCGCAGCTCGTCGTCTTGCATGTGGTGGTCGAGCAGCTGCCTGTCGTGGTCTGCGTCGAGGACACAGTCTCCGTGCAGAGCACGCCACACGACGTGACAGTCTTGTTGTCCTCGCAGTCGCAGTCATCACCCTCGCACCCCTGATTGACGCAGAAGTGTTAGTGAGCTTACTAGACGTCGACGTCCAAGATGTGAATCCATGACAGGACATGGGGCCTCTTACCTCTCCATTATTGCATCCCGCTCCAACGCAGTTTCCATTTCCGCCTCCACCACCACCTCCTCCTCCTCCAGGGCCACACCCAGGGCCGACACATCCATGCGTGTCTCCGCCTCCGCCACCACCTCCGCCGCCGCCGCAGTTAATCAGGCATATGCCGCCACAGCCGCTCTTGCAAGGTGGGCCGGGAGGACCGACTGAGATGTGCACAGATCCTGGTTCACCCCCAGGCGGAGGCCCAGGAGTGGTTGGATAGGGGCCAGGACTATAAGTCCAGGTCACGCCTTCCTGCCCGCCAGGTCCGGGCGGTTCTATCAGTGTGACAGCAGGTGGAATGATGCTGGTGGACACTTTGACAAGAGTACGGGAGGTGTTTGTATAGATGATGTTGGAGACCGGGATGATCGACGTGGTAATGTCGGGAATGGTGATCACAGTCGTGACGGTCCTGGTGACGTATGTCGTCGTACCTCCCGATTTCTTTGGCCATGTGTCCTCAATGGTAGCGGTGACAGGAGGGATGTCGATTGTTGTAAGCGTGGAAAGCGTCCACGGCGGCAGGACAAACGTACATGGTGGCTGACAGAAGACCGAAGGACTCGGCTTGTCCCAGATACTTGGATCTATGTACACGATGCCGCTTCCACCGCCTCCTCCTCCTCCACCACCACCACCACCTGGTGAGATTGATGTCGGGTTGGGATTTGTCCAGCTTACCGTTGGTCTTGCCTCTGAGGGGGGAGAAACTGTCAACGTCGGGCAGGCGTCGGCAGTAGTGATTTCACGGGGTGCAGTAACGCACTCTGACGTATCCGTCGAGTAGTTTCCATTGAGGGCTGTGATACAGAATTCGAAGTTCCAGGCCCCAGGAAACAGGAAGTCGACCTCGGTACAAGGCACAGTCGAGTCATAACCTCCATATTTGAGAGGTTTCCCGGGTTGGGAGATGTCGCGCACCCAGAACTGCCAGGCGAACGCGTTCGGATCATCGTCCCAAGTGATGTGTACCGAAGCACCTTGGCCTGTGGTGAGGACCCTGACACCGGTAGGCACAGACGGCATCACCCCTCCAACTATCACGCCTTGGCCTGCTTGTGGCAGTCCTGCGCACAACACGCCGTCGATAGTCGCCCAGGTTTCAACTGCAGTCAGAACACGCTCACCTGGAGACATGTCGCCTCGGACGTTAGCCGATGTCGCTGAGGAAGGAAACCCCCAGTCCAGAAGAAATGCCCACGCATCTTGGTCCCAATAGACAACACCGTATTCGTCCACATCATAACCTTTGACTGAGTCCCAGGTAAAATCGACTCCGTTGGCAGTCGAATAAGTCCTTAGGTTCGACGGGCCAGGGGCACAATCAGGATGGGCAGTTGCGGAGACCGTTTCGCTGAGACCCGACCAGACATCAGAGCAGAACGCCTTGACCTGGTAATTCCATGTTATTCCGCCTACTGTCCATGTGGTGAACGTAGCCGGTGCAGAGACATTGATAGCCTCCGGGGTTTCTCCCGTGAAACCGGAGTATACAGTGTACCCGTATGCGCCCTCGACCGGGTCCCAGGTACATGCGATTCCGCAAGGGGTCGCGACCGCCTTGATATTACCTGGAGTAGCGCACGCTCGCACAGGAATGTCCCCATGATCAGGCACGGTGAATGCCGCGCCGGGCCAGTTGTACCCCTGAGAGAGCGTGTCCGCAAACGCCTTGGCGATCTGGAACTCGCCCAGAGCGTTTGGATGCAGTCCGTCCGAGCCAGCTGGACACGAAAGAGGATCGCCTGTGCGGAACATGAGGTGAGCATATGGCCAGAGATGGACGCCGCAGAATCTGATTTGAGATACTTACAATCATAGTTCTCGCGAAACTGGACAATATGGATGGGCGACTGGGTAGTGGACATGCCCTCGAGGATGCGAGGTAACGCAGCATCATAATCCTCGGTCTTGACAATCAGATCATCTCGGCCACCAATAAACGTCCTCTGTGGCACATTCGCAATGGCAAAGGCGAGATCCGGCTTGGCAGACCGCGCATTGTCTATGAACCTGACCATGCTCTCCAACGTTCCAGAGGCGTCACTGACAAACCAGCCGACATCGTTGAAACCCAGCTCGACAAGCAGATAATCTGGCTGATACTCGCTCACCATATCAGCAATAAGCCCAGCATCCTGTGCAAGTTGACGGCCCCAGGCGGCAAAGTGACGCTGTCCGCCATTGAAGAAGGTCGAGCCTGCCGGGATGTCTGGCGAATAACCCCCAAGCTGGGACACTGAAGGTATGGGGGCTGGCGAGGTTGCGGTAGCGCTGCTGTATGGAACAGGAGGGCTGGGCGATTCTGCCGGAGCTTGCTGTACTGTGCCAGTGTAGGGTCCAACAAACCTAACGGACACATCATTCGAATTGAACCACTCCCAAAGACGGTAGCGCCATGTGAAATCTCCGTTGCGGCCCTGTTGGAAGAATCAATACATTGGGTGAGCGTGGGCTGAGACGGGGAAGGGAATAAGCCTTGTCATTACAAACCTGCGAAATAGAGTCGCCAACGATCATGATCGCAGGGTTGTCAGTCGGGGGGACTACGGCAATGCTCTGTTCAACGAAGATACCAAGGACACTAAGAAGCAGCACCGCGATGTCCTGGGCGTACGACCGCTTAGAACCCGGAAGTGATAACAACATTGCAGCAACAAGACTGCCTAGTCAGGACGGTCAATTCCTCGAATAGCTTGCTCTTAGCCCTTTCCGCCTTGGAGACTCTTTTCTGGAGTCGGCTGCAGGATTCTTTTGTACTTGAATCAAGCTATCCACACGATTTATAGAGGCCGTCTTCGTCTCGGCGTCTCGAGCAGAGAGGACCCGGGGCACATAATTAGCTTGAACTACGTGCTCTTACCATGTGCGATGTGTGTTCGTTTCGCATCCTTGGAGGGCCGCCGAGCAGGAGGGAAGCGTTTTCTGCATGGGCTAGCATCGTACTCCAGGTCGCTCGATTGCAAGGCTCCTCGGCCTGCGTGAACATGTACGTCGAGACAATGAGAGAAAATAATTCAGGCACAGCGATCCTGACAAGCTCGCCAATAGTATCGCCCGGAACAAGCAGTGAGCTGAGGATGAAGCTCGCTGGGCACCTCAGCGTCGCAATCCAGCAGGGATGACAATCGTATTGTGATCTTTGGGTTGCACCAGAATCCGCCGAACGGACCATCGGATACAGTCTGCTCAAGATATTCTATCATACTGCTTAAACAGTGCTGAGTCAGACGTATCGCCGGAAAGTAGACGAATAATTGCGGTGCCGCATGCGTGCGAGCCTGCTATCAACATAAGAGAGGACAGCAGAAGGATGGTAAGGACGCGCATGCTAGTGGTCCATTAAGTAGGGATACCGCACAAAAGACCTCCAAGAGACTTCACTAGCATTCATTGAGCGGACCGTCGCCTACTTCATCCGGATATGGTTGAGTCAGACTACAGTCTAGTCGGCAAGGACGAAATGACACCGAAGAATTTGAGCTCTTATGAGGTTCAAAGCGAAGGCCTGAAGTTGAGCGGGCTGACACCACAAGTCTCCAACAAACAGTTAAGCATGCGCAATCGAGAGGTTGAATCAAGCATGTTTCCTCAGGCGCCGTTAGCGCCAGGGCTGGATCGTCGCGGGTTTTCGTTCGTTATCTATCCTTCTCTAAGCGCGCCGGTGGTTCTATCTGGAGGCTGAAGTGCTATAGCGTATCCAACCGCGTAGCAAAAGGAGAGATGACGAAAGTCGATCGCCTAGCATAGATATGCATCGCCCATAATCTAGCCGATAGCCGCCATACAAACACGGCGCATCTCGCTAATCTGACATGGGCAACGTAGCCGACTCTGAGTGAAGCATCTTTGAAGGATCACGCTCAGGCACATGTCTATGTAAGGAGTGTTAATGCATGTCGACTAGTAGCCCGAAGCGGACAAAACAGTAATGACCAACGAGCGCGAGGGATAGGATATGTCGTTGCTGTGCAAGGAACACATGCTTTGATTTGTCTAAATCAACTGACACATCTAAAGCCCGCTCGGAGCTCGAGCAATATCCGATGGCCCGGTGCCCAGAATCAGATTCTAATCCGCAATGCCAGATGAAAATACTGAGCAGTTTAGCCGTATGCTTAGAGTAGAAACAGTAAGGAAGATGTTACAGTGATTCCACCCGAGGACTTGGATATTTGAAGTGGCCAATTTTGAAATTTTACTCAACTATTTTGGAACACTTATTCTTAACCCTCCCAAAGTCGTGTTCTATCTTGCGGAATCTCTGACTGCGTTTACCGACAATGAGGGTTCACGGAGGTCTTCTAGAGTACCTCACTGTGGTCTTGATCGGCCTCTATGCTCTGCCTCCATGCCAAGCGGCCGTGACAAACTGGAGAACCATGAACTGCGATATTGACCTGTACAACGACTTGACTCTGGACGATTTGTACTCTAATGCTTTAGCAATGGCCACGTATGCTGCCGAACGAATGGACTTCTTAAATGACGGGACCCGTGTTGCACCCTTGTCGGATCGTGCGAAAGTGGCAGATAATCTCAAATACATGTTTCCCCTCGATTATACACCCAAAGAGAAGCTAAGTAGCGACGCGATTACCGTCATCAACAACGTCAAGAGTATGATGAGGCTCGTTTTGTTAGCATACCATTTTTTCCTGTGACTGACGCGTTCATCTATATAGGCGTCTTCACCAGAGTCAAGGCATTGATGTCCGGGCCGGACGCCGGCTATATCATGTGTACGGACAGCCCGCTCATATACGACTATGTCGGGCAGTACTGTATGTGTCTGAGCTCAACTTTAAGAGATGAATTTCTGCTAAACTAGCCGCCGATATTAGATAGCACGGGTGTATTCTACTTCACAGAGGACAGCGAAAATGGCGAGAAGGACGTCATCATACTTGAGTCTACCAAAGGCAGCCGTCAGTCATACCCTCCCCCAACTAGCTCCCGCGAAGTGGTGAAGAGGAAGAGAATAAAGATGCTGAAACGTGTCGTGTAGCGTCAACTAAAAGACCTTGTTCGGATGGAGACGAGGGAATAACATACTTTGCGACAAAAAGCAAAACCACAGGACCTTACAAGGTTACATTGATTATCCTTTGCAAGGATAACTTCAAGACACCGAAAGGCACATTAACTAAGGAAGCGGCGGCTCCTGGTGATAACCCCAACGTAGATGATTGGAGAAGCGCTGCCGGAATGATATTGCATGAGATGGTTCACGCACTGGACCCCACACAACAGTCTTGTAGGTATCAAGCTCTGCTATTCGGCAAAAGTAGATTGGTGTTAACGTTATAAAAGACCTAGACCAAGTTTCGCCTCGATTTGCAGGAAAAGCGTATGGCTATGACAAATGCTATTCGTTGAAAGAGGACCCTGATGACGCCTACAAGAACCCGGACAACTACCGCATCCTCGCCGAGATGTGCTACATGTCCGAGACGCAATGGGGCGCTCCAAAACCACCGCCGCCGCCAGCGTAGATGCCTAGAAACAGAGTCTCGATCACATAGACACAGCTATGCAGAGCTGGTCATGACAGGGTCCATAAGTATACTATGGTAAACTATGCTGTTGCTATTGCTTTCATGGAGTCACACAATTCAATATCAAAAGGCATAGTGTTCATGTGTCATATTCTATCAAACAACTCTACAGTAACTAGATCGACACTTACAGCTCTGCCACCGCATCCCTCAAGAGTCGTTGTACATCCAAGGATCTCTCCGTCACCAGCGCCTTATTGATTGTCTCTTTCACCTGTGTATTTGTTTCTTGACTGTTCCCGAATACACCCTTCTTGAGTGCCTTCGCAACCGCAATCGCCGCCTTCGCACGGTTTGACCGCTGCTCCTCCGTCCCCACGTCAGTCTTGTCCACATCTAATGTGTTGAAGAAGCCCAGTACAACACTCCGCCCATTTTCCTTAGACGGGGATGCCGTTTCGGCTGCTTCCATCAGATCGGCCACGCATTTGTACCAGACCTCTCTTCTAACTCGATCGAACTGGGAGCTTGTGATGTAAGGCCCCAGGACTTTCAATATCTGCTCCAATACCACAATTGAGTTGCTGTTCATGTTCGGCCGGCTGTAGCCCCTAGCCACCGCCTCAACTGCATTTGTAGCAGTCTGGTGAAGTAACTTTTCCTTATTATCTTTACCGTCCTTCTTATCGACATCCATACGATCCTCGTCTTTCAGCTCATCAAGATGCGGTGTGACGATGTCCACAATCTCGTTCATCATGTCGAGGTCTTCTCTTGCCGCTGCGAAGCGCCAAAGACATTTGAAGGCATGAACGCGGTACGCGTCATTGTTTCTCTTGGCTTCGCGTACAGCAATCTTCTTCAGCTGGCCGGCGATCTGGGCGTCGTTCTCCCAAAACGCTTTACCCTTGCCGACAAAGTCCGGGAATGCCTCCAGCAGCTTCTCCTTGCCAGTGAAGGTCTTCAGGGCCAAAGACTTGTCAAAGACTGGCCAGATGGCCTTCAGATTCGGAACGTTGACCTGGCCGCTGAGATCGCTCGCCGCCGTGACGGCCTTGACCATAGCAGCCACAGTCAGAGCGCCTCCATGCTTGAGCGACCACTGCGGCGTGTCGAGCGAACGCTGCACGAGTGCCACGATCTCGGTGACGTACCGTGTTACAGTGCGGCTGCTACCGGCGTGCGTGCTCCACACTTCATCGAATTCCTTCTGTACGTACTCGTCCGTGTCGTGGCTGGCAAGGTACGAAAATGGAAGAAGCTGTGACTCGAGAGCATTGAAGTGATCCGGCGACGTTTTGGAGAGAAACAACACTGCATCTGCCACTTTCTGTCGCCGTGACTCATCCTCTGATGTAAAATACAAATCGATGTATCTCTTGGCGAAGTGCTGTTTAGCTTCTGATGGGGCTACGCGCATGATGTAAGCTGCCGCCCGTGCATAGCCTTGACTAACTTCGTCGTTTCGATCCAGAGCTTGCTTCTCCATGAGATGGAGGAAGGTTGCAGAGAATGGCGCGAAGTCGGTAGTGTGTCTCGTAGCTAGAGTTGATAGAACCCTGCTGCAACCGATCTTAGTGGGCATACCTATCGCAGTCTTTATGGTGTTTTCCAGACCGGGAACAAGCTCTTCCATAGTCTTAGAATCTATGTTGCGGAGGCAGTTCTCGATGGCCTCGGAAATGGGCGACTGAGAGACGATCTGGCTTCTGATCTTGTCGATCTTATCTCGGTTGTCCTCGCCAGCCCGGATATAGTGGTAGTTGATGGCATCCGGCTCGATTGTGCTTAGCAAGCCAAGTAGATGCGGCACCATCACCGGGATGTAGCGCCTGAGCGCCTTTCCCCCTGTTTTGGAGATCTTCAAGACTGTGATAGTAGAGAACAGCTTCACATCTTCCACGCCACTCTCGATACCCTTGTCGGATAGAAGGAAAGGCAAAGCCTCGTTCATCATTGCTGTGGTAGCAGCTGACGCCCCGCCCTCCTCCAGCTGCCGTGTGAGCGTGTTTGACAGATTCACGCAGAGACGGAGAGCAGCTTCCCGCACGCTTGACTTCACATCATCCAAGACCTTAAGCGCAGATGTCCAGATTTGCTGGTAATACTTCTCGTACTGCGGGAATGGTCGGCCTTGTACGAGGTCGGAGATGGCAGCACAGCTGGCTTCCCGCACTCTCCACTCTCGGCCGAGAATGCTCTTGAGCAGATCTGTCATTATGGCATCGAAATGCTTTTCCATCACGGCATTCGAGTCCTTTACGAGCGCCTTCCAAATGTCATTCATCGACTTTTGTACGTTTGTGTTGGGGTCAAAGCGATAGCGGTAGAGTTTAGGGTAGAGCTTCGGGTCGACCTCGGACTCAGACAGGATATTGCTCAAGCCAAATCGCCCGAAAGCAGATCGTGTTGACCAGGTTGCCGCATTCGCAGCGAGCGACATGAACTTATAGACGAGACTCTGATCGCCAACTTCATTGGCAAGATTAACGATATCCTTGTATGACGTAACTGACTTGCCCTCGCCAGTTGGCAATGCTCCGGCATCGAACAGTTCCGTGTCTTCGTCGACCTTCAACTGTGGACCAGAGCCGGTGAATGACCCTACAAGATCACGCACGAGATCATCCTTGAGGGAAGGGTCACCCTTCTCGTATACTAGGGACAAGCCTCGGGATGCGGTCTCCTGGACAAGCTCATCTCGAGCACTTAGGAGCCTCATAAAGGCAACCTGGCACTCCCGCAATCTTGATTGAATTTCGGGTAGGTGAGAACAATGTTGGATGATGCAGAATAGCCAGATTCCTGACGCTTTTAGAAGCGATGGCTTAGTAGCCTTGCAATCGGTGAGAATCTTTTCCAGAACTTCGTTGATGCGAGTAGTTCTCTTTCCAGTATGTGTGACCGTGTCGTCAGCCTCAACATCAAGGGTCAGCTGGACAACGTCCGAATCCCAAGCGGCGACTGCTGCAGTGATTGCCTCTCCAACGGCAAAATGTACCTCAACTTGCTTGATCTCATATAGCGCATAGAGCTTAGATAGCACAGTATCAACCAAGTCTTTCTCAGCTGTCTCCTTGTTCGATTCATTGACAGGTCTGCTTTCTTGGGCGGCGATGGCAAGCCTGCCAAGCGCTGTGATAGCGTGTTCGTTGCCCTTCTTTGCTTGAGCTACCAATGTTTCTATATAAGCATCTGTGGTCTCCTTGTCTCCAGATACTGTGAAACCTGCTGTCCAGATCTGCGATAGTGTGTCAAAAATGGCTTCTTGAAAAGACAACGAAGCTGCTTTGATATCCTTTGGCGACGGAATCAGTTCAGCAAGGCCATTGCTCAGTGTATCAAGTGATGGTGAAGGGTAGTAGGAGGCTCGAGACACGAGATAGCCTAAGCTCAAGAAAGATCCCTCTGCAGCATTCAGCTCAGAGCCGACGGCGCTCTTCCATGGCTTAATCAGTGCCACGAGAGCGTCCTTCGCCTGAGCTACGAACTCAGGTTTGTTAGCTGGATGGGGAGCGGTTATACCGAAGGCCCTTGCTCCAAGACTGCGGAGTTCTTTCTTGTTGGATCTTATCAGCGGGATCAACTCCAGCGCTCTGCTGGCTAGTTCCCCGACGACCGCTTTGGGGGTAAAAGAGATGACTTCCACGAAACACCGCGCGCACTCTTCTGCTATTGCTGGGTTATCTCTCAACATGCCTTCGAAAGCCGCTGTCAAAAGATCGAGGATATCAGACCCGTTGACAGTCTTCAGGTATGCGCGAATGGCCTCTCTGGTCTTCTTGTCTGACTGTACTTGCGCCTCAAGCTGGCGCTCCCATCCAGGCTCAATCTTGAAGTCCTTCAGAGCTGCAAGGAATAACATTCGCTTACAGTAAGTCACGGCAACTGGAAATGCTTTGAGTCTGTCCCCCGGGAAATTGGCGAAGATCGAGAGGCCATCAACATCCATAGATCGGCCTTGGCTCCACTCAGACGTATTGAGGTGTGTGATGGGTTCTTTGAAGAAAGCATGAACCATCTCTTTCCAGTCAGGCAGGCCTGTGTTCTTGTCGTCATTTACGCGATATGTCCAGGGATCAAGGCCCTTGTGTCCCTCTTCTACCACATCACTGCGTTCATCGCGGCGACCGGCAATCGCCAAGATGTCGATCCATCTTGCTGTAGAGTCCGAGAACAGGAGGGTCTGGTTTGCCCACTTGGTTGCGGCATGTCGAGCGCTGCGTATTACCGATCCCTCGTCGTCTGGCATAGTCATGTAGGTTAACAGAATCTGCCTCAGCACATTAGAGTTCTCGCCCGGCTGGAAGAGGGAAGTCAGGCTCGATAGCGCGCCGTCGATGTTGACGACTACATCGGGGGTAGGGTCCTCGGAGAGTGATCGAAAAAGCCATCCAACCAATGATAGACGCTCCCCATGGCTCATGTTCGTCCCTTTAGCCAGGACACCAATAGTCTCGTATGCCCTCGAACGCAAGGTCGTATCGTCGAGAGACTGCCGTATCGGCTTAGGCCAGCCTTGTTCATTGATGTAATCTCGCAACAGGTCTACCAAAGCCGATCCTATTTCAAAAGTCCCCTTTCCTGGTCCAATCCGTGCAACCCAGTTGATGTACTCAAATAATGCTTTATGAATCTTGGTAAGCTCAAGTCCCGTCGCGTTCAACGATGCGCCAGCTCCTTGCTCGTCGGAGGGGATTTTGATATCGCGACGCACCGCCTCGAGAATTTGGCCAGTGAACCCCGTCGAGATTGCAGATCTGCTTAATAGATTCAAGATGCGAATTCTGTACGCGGCAGGCAAACGCGAATGCGCCTCAAATAGAGTCTCCACAAGGCCTTTGTCTTCAAGAGACACTGTACTTCGCTTTAGGAGGTCATCGCCGATAGATGACACACGGGAATCGGAGCTAGACGCTGCATAAAGGGCGGGAATGAAGCGTTCGTCATCTTTGAAGGCGCCACTTGCAATAAATGTAATGCTCTTGATTCTAGTCTCGGGTAGACTCAGTCCATCAGGCGCGGTGGGCACCCATGTGTCAGATTTGCCGAGAGTGAGGAAGGCAACGTCGGAGCTGGTGAGACCAGGACATGGAGCCGTGGTATCTTTCTGTGGCTTCAGTAATAGGAGCTTTCCGAGCCACTCGGCGACAAATTTGGCGTCTTTTGCATCGGATAGACCAACATCGTCACGCAGTGCCTCATCCTCTTTGCTGCCTCTAGGTGGGATCCGTAAATCTCGAAGGACTCGCAAGAAGACGTTGAAAAGAGCCGCTGTGTTCGAGGACTCACTTCCTATGCTTCGCAGAATCGTAGAAATGAGCTTTCTCCTATCCGGTGCTTCTAGTCGGCCGATACTGTGCTGGACAAACATCATATCTAGATGCTTAACAACTGGCGAATCAGTAGTTTTGTACTGCTCCAGAAGCGCAGCCACCGGAAGAACAACCCTGGAGACATTAGCAAGATTTGTATATTGATCCGGGGGACGATGCATACCCCGGTGGCTGTATGAAGGTCTTCAGCCTCTGACATATTGATATGACCTAAACAATGTGAGCCTCGTGATTCCCCACCGGACATATTGGCAGGCAGCGGTACCTTGGCTCTGACGGAGGCATGTTCACTGCCGCCTTTCAGCAGTAGAGGCGGGAGATATGTGCCGAGAAGCTGCTGGAGCTTTGCTTCGTTATTGGCGACGTTGAGGATGCGCAGGTCAACCTTCTCGACAAGGGCCAGCTCGCGCTGCTCAGTGGAGGCGTTCGCCATTTCTCATCAGCGGGGTGAGCTGACAAGCTCAGGAATCTGTGGCAACCACGGCGTGTTTCATGAGAATTAAGTGTATGGCTGCAAATAGCAAAGTATTCCACATCAACCTGATTATTTAAAGGTGAAATGAGCGGCGACGATGGCGTGGCGGCCTGCTATCGTCATGCGGCTATGCCTGGTGATTGATTACCTAGGTACTTGGAGGTGATGGCATTTCAGACAGCAACTGCTCACGCAAGACACAGTGTCCCACACCAGCTAGGTAGGTACCTACGTACAGCATTACTATGCAGTAGGACCAAGCAGAGAAGGCGGGCTTAGCTAATGACTAAGCGGGCATGGAATCCGCTGGACATGTGGTCCGTGCTCCAGGAGACCCTTGAGATGTGAGCCCCTGAATCACGAACCGTACCACGGCCGCATGGTCTACACTCTACGTGTCAGGTCGGACAAGAACTACTGAAGAATAATGGTCTAAATGAATTCCTTCCATTACCAGTGCCGGCGTCTATCTATCATCCTGCCGGTCTAACGAGGGTATCATTATCAGCCACAGCTAAATCTATGAGCCTGAACGCCTACAGCCCTTCCTGTATACGTCCCCATCCTTCTCCACACGAAAGTTTTCGGGTATCATATCATCAATGAATGCATCCACAGACAACGTGTACAACGTGTTCCTCAATCAACCATCAAAGACCGTCAATCAATCATAGGTCTCCTAGCGTCTTGAGCCACCTCTGCCGCCACGACCACCATTCCCGGCACTTCTGCCCTCTCCTCCTCCACCGCCTGGTCCACGGTTGTGGTGCGGCTTGGCAGCATCCGGAACAACAACCAAACCCTTGGTGCCTCGAAGCCCCATCTTGCCCACGGTGCTTTTCTGGATCGCGGGCGTTCCGGCGGATCCAAGACCATCCCGCGCAAAGACGTTTGCCTCTGCCACGAGTTGCTCGTTGTCCCACTTGAGAGACTTCATGTGCGCCTTGTAGTAGCCCATCCAGGCCTGGTAGATCTTGGCCTTCTGTGAGTCTTCCATTCGTTCGGCAATAGCCTCGACCTCAGGTGCAGTTGACAGGGAGACTTCGTGGGGTACGAAAGTGATCTCCTTCAGCGTCCACTTGGGGAAGAAAGACTCCTGCTGAGTGACAATGAACACGCCACGGCCTTCGGCGCCAGCTCGGGCAGTCCGGCCCAGTCGGTGGATGTATGACTCTTTATCGCTGGGGATGCCGACTTGAAAGACGCTCGTCACACCGGGGAAGTCCATGCCACGGGCAACCACATCAGTCGCGACGAGAATTCCAGTCTTGGCGCTTCGATAATCATTAGTAGTCTTGGTTCGCTTGCCTTGGGAGATTCTGGCGTGAAGGATAGACACAGTGGGCATATCCTTGAGGTTGGAAAGGATATGGCCGTAGAAGTCCGCAAGCGCTGCTGTTGGCGCAAACACAATGGCTTTAAAGGCTCCTGGCCCAACAAGGGCAGCTTCTTCGCGAATAGAGGCGACCATAGCCGGTGCCACTGCTGCGAAAGTGGGTACCTCAATAAGTTGCTGTGGCACACGCTCGTGTGTGTTGACCTCACCAGCCGGGATAGTGGAGATAAACTTGTATCCAGGGGACAAGATCAGGTTTGCAACCTGTTGGACGTGGGGGGCAATCGTAGCGGAGAACAGCATGCCCTGTCGGTTTGACTTGACCTTGTCTGGCAGGCAGCGGACGATGTCCTTCAAAGCGCCCAAGAAGCCCATGTCCAGGAGTCGGTCAGCCTCGTCGAGAACAAGAGTATCCAGCTCGCTGAACGCATCCTTGATCGCCTCGTTACCCAAATGATCAAAGAGCCGCCCCGGTGTTGCGACCAATATGTCGCAACCGGACAGGATCTGTCTCTCCTCCGAGTTCTTATTCGTGCCTCCAATCGCGATACACACTCGGCAGCCAGACATTCGTTGCAGCAGTCCGTTGGCTTCCTTGGCAATCTGCATAGCCAACTCACGAGTCGGAGAGATGACCAGAAGGGAAATGCCAGCGTTGCGGCCGCGGTTCTTATTTAGAATGGTTTGGATGGCGGGTAGGAGGAAGGCAACGGTCTTGCCAGTACCAGTCTTCGCCTGTACGAGACAGTCGCTGCGGTTCGGAGGTAGCAGTTCTCGAAGCGTCGCCGCTTGGACAGGCATCATATGGTCGAATTTGAGGTCTTGTGTGATGGTCTGAATCAGAGTCGGGTGGACGACGCCTTGTCCAGTGAGGTCAGCGAATCTTGGCGTGTCTTCAGGGACGGCCTCTGTGAGCGGGGGAGTCGCTACTCGTGGGATCTGAGGCTGATTCTGCGATGGCGCGGGCCTTGCGCCTTGTGCAGCGTGGGTGGACGCATTTCGAGGATGGCGTCTCGGACCCCTACGATCGGAGCCTCGCTTGGGTCGATCCATGATGCTGATCTCAAGTCCACGAAGTGATAGAAAAGGTCGAGCACGAAGTAGCCTCAACGCGGCAAGAGACATGCAACAAGAACCACGACGATGTGGTGTTGGTGTCGATGACAAGTGCAGGTGTGCTTGTCTTTCAGGTGGTGTCTTGTCTGCGAACTTGAGACGGGTGATAAAACTGAGTTTTGCGTAAATATTTCACCGCCTTAGGCTTAGTGTGGCGCGATAAGATATGCTGATAAGGCAGCCCCTGTCTTGTGAAACCACCTGGGCACATCCTCGGGCCTTCTCTAAACTAATCGACGGCTATTTGAGCGTAAGTTAATCATAGCATCGTCTTGTGGAACAACTCCGCAGGTCATTTATAGAAAAGTTGAATTACTACTGGTATCAACCCTTGGCAGAGCCAAATCGGCTTTCGTGCTCGCTCGCAAATGTCGGCGGGCTTATCGAAGTTCGAAAAGACGACCCAACAACACTTTGCAAGCGTGCTATCACAGAGGATTTAAAGTAATAAGGTTTCTTTTATCAAGTAACACGGCCATAGCATGAATTCATTCATGTGATAATCCTATGGGTAAAGACAACTGGTAGATCTCAACAATTCGAACGATTCAAGGATACTGTGATTAGCAATCCAGACCTGATTCAAAAATTTCAAATATGACCACCAACCGACTTCGTCGGGATGAAACACATGATTGACCCTTACTAAGTCTTCATAATGAGAGCTTATCACGAAAGCCGAAGCAGGAAATATAGATACATCAACCTTGATAGAAACATACGTATCATGATTTGAACTTTGTAGCTTTCCATCACAACGCTCGCTCTGTGAATAAGTGATTTGTGACGTCGCTTGTGATTGCACATCTTGACGGCCTGCAACATTCTAAGACGATGTAATTGCTATATCATCGCAACTCGAATTTGTGACACCTACCAGCTGTATGATGTAAATGAAGATATAGCTGAATCACCAGACACTTGAACAGGCATCTTGTAAATAAAACCTGCTAGAAAAGGCAACAGCATGGGCCGTGCCTGTTTCAAATAAAGTACATCCTTCTTTATGTTTCCCGCAAACCCGGGATTCTGAAGCATTCAGCCGGAGTGATATATGACTCCAGCATCTCTCCTTTTCCCGTTCCCAAATATGGCTAATTTAACCTACGAGTTCTAGTCGTATCATGGACAGGAAGTATACCGATGGTCAGAATCGGCTTAACCTACATAATTCCTATTGCGTCCGAGGTGCATAGTAGTTGTACGGAATTAGTGAGTTCCTGACAGGACATGTTGAGCACCTGTATTACGCGTGTACACGAGCATATACGTCGGCGGCATGGAGAGGCGTACATAGGTTGCCTTCCAAAACTGTGCATCGCTGGATTGTTCCAATTGTGATGAGTTGAGATCTCTGCACATCACGAAAGCTTCCCATTCTGTATTATGGCCTCGATGCCACTGAAGGTTACAACCTAATGTGTTCAACGTCAAGATAATTTGACTCTGTTATTGGCTGTTTTGATGAGTCTATTCTCGTCTTGTCAATTCACAATGGATTAGTTTCTATAGCTTCTGCACGCCATCATCATCATGATCGAAGTTGGCAACAAATCGCCGTGGGAGAAAATCGAAGGGCCCCCCCTAGACGCCAGTGACTGATCGATCACGATTCAGGGCCGATGGCTCTCCTCACCGTGGCGCTTGCGAATGCATCTTAGCGAAGGCCACCATCTGTAAGCCTACATCATCGCACAGCAATGTAAGCAAGCCACTCTCTGTTCAAGCCCGTGGCATCCGTTCTGGAAGTCATGTTCCGCAGGTGCTTCTAACACTATTTACAACTGTCCAATATTGGCTTCGACTATGAAGTGTACTAGTAATGTGAAAGCCTCATGCCCCTAAAGCGCTAGGAGTCAACTCCGGATGATTCCTATCTGCTATTGGGCGAGAACTGCTGCTTTATTCTGAAATGGGTTGACTTTGCATGGATTGCCAGTTTCTATGGCATTTCCAGGCATTTCCACCATTTATGGTATGTAGAGTCTGGGGATTTACTATGAGGTGTAGCGTTTTCATGGTCGCAAGAAGTCTTGATCCGTGCAAAGTTGGGATGCAGATTCTGCTCTATAAGGCTAACTCAAGCCGTTGTAGGCATTGACATAGAACAACAATAATCAGGTCGTTCTATCCGCTCCCATTGATATGAAGCCGATGTGCCGTTCAACCCTGATACTGGTGGCATGTCTTGTCTCGCGTCACTTGCAGCATTCTATCGGCCGAGAAGGCCCGGTAATGATAGTCGATCTGCCGCAATGGTTGAGTTCCTTCACAAGGATGCAACACGGTGCGGCTTGTACCCATACATGCGCCTACCTCTCCAGCCGGTGCCAAGTCCTGGTCTAGCGGGCTATCCGTCCTTGCCGGCAGTAGGCGAAGATGAGGAAAGGGTCTTCACGCTGCCGGTTGAGGCGTTAGACTTCCGGTGTCGGAAGGTGCGTAAAACTACCTCTACGTCAGAATTAGGCCGTTATCGTCTCGTAACGGTCTTCGCATGTAGCTTTGTTCAGCTCGACTCTTAAGCATCTCAGCAAGGCAAGGACTAGGGTCGTCACGCACGATCTATAGCATGTCAAGAAGCACTGTTTAGTTTAGAGAAGGTGGACTCCCTTAGGTCTTAGATGGTGTGAACGGCTGCTCAATCATTGGCCGCATACATATGGTCCGGGATTCGTGGAATGTTCGGTATATTTTATTTGAAGCCAATTGCTTCTACCGTGCAGGAAAGGCTCTGACCGAATAACACATTGTGCATCTCAAGCCCATCCTTTACAAACGGTGTCTAATGCCTGAGGCGTAAACTCTGATGGGCTCATACTACGGAGGGACGGGAGGGGCCTCATCAACTGATGGGGCAGCTTAGATATGTGATGGGACTGACCTTCTGTGGGACTGGTGAAGGACCGGTGTTAGGGAAGGTTCACTAAAAGGTTCATCTCTGTTTGGAAAAGCCGTCATGCCCACCAAACCCTAAGCACTCTCGAGGCACCCACACGAACAGGCAATAGAGATGCTTGCACATCCAGCGGATCATGACCAGGGAGGTGGGGACGTGAATGCCAGCAATTGCAAAAAGCAATTCGCAGGGAGGGGTACCTTCGGATCTTGTATGAACACATCTTAAAGTTGAATACCGAAGCGCATGGTGTCAAGCCCTGGCGCAGAGCATGACTCGTGAAGGGGTGCAGTCGATTTGACCTTGTATGTAGCTAGGTAGCTCACTTAAGTCACGATGTTCCAGCAGGCATTGCGATTTCGTGACCGACAAAGCTACTTGGCTGCCCGAAAAGCTCCGGCTACCGAGACGCCACCAATGGGAGTGTTTGTCCTGGATGCTGACAAGCTGAGCGAAAAGCCAAGGCTCGAGAGCTCCTTCGGCGACAAGGGCCCGATGATCCCCACGCGTTTTTCTGGGGTCGCGGGTTCGCCGGCTGTAACCTGAGAGGAGAACTCAGGAACGAGATGGCAAGAATTGATCTCGATAGAGGCTCAATCTCAAGCGGTCGATCAACGCCAATCGATAAGTCCAAGAACGCCTTCAAAGATCTAGGGAATTTAGGTGCAATGGCGATGTCTCATTGAGTTTGTTTTCAACCACACCTGGCCAATGGTCATGACCTGAGCCGGCAATTTTGCAGATGGCCCGCGATGGTAAAAACTGATATGTGACGGGAGAGTTGCTAGATTGGACAATCCAATACTGTAACCTTGTACACACCTACCTAGATTGAACTGAAGTAATGAATGGCGTTGCCTAACTAATCAATCATCCAGGCCGGTTGCCTTGCCTGCATTCGCGAGCAAACAACTAGGTTCGGGAATCTTTTGCGTAATTTTCGATCATGCCACAACACCCTGGGATTCTCAATAGCGGCAATGACTCCTTATGCATGCATGCATGCATGCAGCTGAATATTGCTAAGCTGGACCCTGCTGGACCGCCATGCGCATTGTTGTCGTAATGGAATATTTCCAGAGCTTCTCGTCTGCGCATCGAGATTCGAGATTAGATCAATTACCGATCTGACTACCAACGCGTCGCAACCCCGGCTGCCGCCCGACGCGTGCGGACGGGACGGTAATGAATTCGCTGGACGTGACGCGGCCGGGTCCTGATGGGCAAGGATGCGGCAACTATGGACATGGTGGAAATTGCGGCTCGATTGGCTGACGGATTCATGCGACCATGTTAATCCAGTGGACTATTCAAGCTAGAGAGCTAGAGACCCATTTAAAGTCAGGTTTGATGAAAAATCACGAGAAGAAGCGAGAAGGCAACGCGCCAGGCCACGGAAAAGTGAAGAGAGATTTGGTCGGCTGCAAACGACGACAATCGGACAATGTTTTGCAGATGCGCTAAGGCGGACTAAAATGCCTTTGCCTGCAAACGCCGACAGAAGTAGCCAGACTGAGCCAGGCCTTGCGAGCCTTGTACCCTGAGGAAGAGAAGCCATGCCGCTTGACGTAACCTGGCAGCCATGGCCAGTCGGTAGGGCGGAGGGGATCTGCCTGTGAAAATCTCCCATTCGACCCCTCCATTCACGATCGACCAGGGGTTCAATCGAGCCAGAATCGAAGCGGGCAGTTGAAGTATCTTCATGTTCAGGCTCCCGGGTCGAACAGTTGGAGGATCTGGACATTCGGTCGGAGGGACGTTGAGGCGACACCGGCGATGTTATACCATTGCAATTGACGATATTTTGCAACGGCGGCTGTCCATTGAGCCGTTCTGGGTGCGGCTGGGCGGAACTCGCCTGTAAACCGAATAGTACCTGATGGACTGGATTTTGTACGACCAGTGATCGGCCTCCTTCCCCAGATTATCCTGCCTGCCCAACCAGTGTTGCTCAAAACGCGGTTGACGAAGTGGGAGAGACGTCTCTTCTGCCGTGCCGAACATCAACCAGTGCCTTAAGGTTATGTCAGGCACAAATGCA